TTATACAATTTACGAATAATTATGAAAAATGATTCTATCAATTAATAAACGATCTTCGGGTTGAAAGAGATATTTTTTGGTTCAGTTGTAACTATTTTGTGCGAATAAAAATGGATTTTAGGATATAAATACGAAAGATATTCATTATGGTAGGAAAAAGATTGACTGCCAGTAGAACAAGCAACTGGTATATCAGACAATTCTATAAACTGATCGAAAAGAAATATCTTTCGACTCGATTGTAATTATTTTGTGTGAATAAAAATGGTTTGGAGGATATAAATACGGAAGGAATTCATGGTGGTGAGAGAGAGAGAGAGAGAAACGGACAGCCGGCAGTAGAACAAGACGGTGCCGTGTCAGGCGCGGCTAGTAGTACGAGTAGACGAATGAGTACAGCCATACTGATGTCTAAACCGATGTATACAAACACAATTGAGGATGACTGCATCGGTAACATTGTCTTTTAAAGGACTTGACTGATTATTGAATGTTACCTGGAATAGAGAAACGTTTTTATGACTGAATTGTAAAAGCTTTCTATTTATAATTAAATTAACCCTTTGTTGTATTGTGTTGCAAATATACTACCTGTACATTTCATTATCAATAAAATTATACAAAGCACAAAGTTACAAATTACAGACAAAAATTTAATTATCTTTACTCTCTTGTAATTACCATGGTTTCAGAATGTATAATACTTTTTTTTACACGGTATGATTTTTATTTCTATTATTAACACATTACAGACGGGAATCGAAAATTCTCGTTTTATTGAAATATACGTTTAAAATGCCCCATCGGTAATGTCTTAATACTAAGGAAAACTTGTGTAATTTTTTCACTAAGAATTCAATGACTATCTTAGCCAAAATAAAATGAGTAATATCATTGCATCAATCATATTATATTATAATTGTAAACAGAGTGATGCAACCAATATTTCTAAGGCTATATTTAAAACAGTTTAAGAATTATTTTTAACTCTTGTGCTTTATATACCGTGGCACACAATCAAAAAGTTAATTTTAACTAGAAATATCAGAAAGTTTTTGTTAAAAGTTAATAAGCACTCATTTATGAGTAGAACCCCGAACAACCATAACTCCGTTACAGCAAACACCTTAAATTTGCTAGTGGTAGTGTAAACAGGACTTTAAATAAATTTTGAGAACATGGAGTAGACGAAATACATCGGCGCCGCAATAGCAGTGTCGATGAAAATGCGTTTGGCATTCTAGCTAGGCATCTTTGTAACGATAATAACGATTCTCGACGGTATAAATACAGAAACTACAGACATTTCATCGCAACTGCAGGATTAACAAGAATTCTCAAATGAATCCTACTAGTAGACGGCAATTTTTCAACATTAATTCCGTTCACCTGTTGAATCATCGATCAACCTCTTTCCATTAGGTTACATAAAATGCATCGTCCCTCTATTAACCCTCAGACGGCGGACCATGGATACTGTACTTCTACTGTACTCAGGATACTATTTTCATTTTCGAAATTATAAACTGTTCCTCTAAAAATTATTTCCATTTAATTTTAGATTATTATTCTATTCATACTCCGCTGTTTAAGCATTAGGTATCTCCTATAAATATATAATTACATTATTATATGCAAAAGGAATTTCACTATCACAATGCAAATAGTACCAAAGCGTCCTAAGGTCACTTACATCCAATAATACAATAGTAAATAGTATTTCTAACACAATGAGTGGACGTATTAAAATAATCGGGGATGATTCGACGTTTCTAAATTAATGTTTGGCTTAGATATGACAATGCTCGATGACGTATCGGTATTGTTATACTTTTCAACGTTGGCACACCCACGCTTGTCATAGATTCGAACGAGTCAACGACTCCTGTCATCGATGGTCAATCTGCACGAGAAGCGATGACCCTGCTGCTTTTCAAGTACGGTATATCTAAATCGGTACGAAGAGCGGCGTAGTTGTGCCGGCTGAATGTTAGACGAATATTTCAGCGAGAAAGAGAAGCGTGGGACGTCGAAGCTGATTCTCGTTTTAATTGTCATCTATTCAGTCAACTTCCTGTGACAATGAATTTTCAATCGTGGAACGTATACCTGTTGAATTTGTGGCCATCGCTCCTGCATTTTTATTCATTTGCAAATACGAATTGCTGGGAAGCTCGTTATTTTAGAGACTGTTTAAAAGTCGCAGAAAATGCGAAAACTTGGCAGTCGAGCACCATCATACAATGTACTTGAATATCTTTTCATTGTATAAGTCTATCTCCAACTCAAAAAAGAGCGTTTAGTCTTTCTTGTCTCTCCTAAAATATCTCCGATCTATAAAAATACGATTTTACGAACATCTTACTCGACATGTCCAAGTGGGCGTCGAAGTCTACATTTTCAAATGACTATTTCTGGATCTTAATCATTTGCTTTCTGCACAATCATCTGTACAAGAATTTACTCTCTTATGGATTACTCATTCTAAATGAAAATGATTGAATTTAAAATTTTCATTTACACAGATAGATGTATTAGAAAAATAATATATAGAATAACTGTATAAAATTTATAAAATAAAAGTAAAAGTAAATTTAAATACCATCCCAAAGATTCCCCTCCGTCACCCTAAGATTAACTGGACAATATTTATACTTAATTATTATTTACCCCTAAAAGGTAATTTGAAATTAAGCATATTTAATTACACCTTATCTTGTCCTAAACATAGAAGAAAAGAATCTTATTACCATTTTCTCCATATTTAGCCTACTTTGGTAAAGAAATACCAAGGCCATATTCAGCATAATTTCGAACTAAATCATCAATAAATATAATATCCTGAAGTAATTTTTTCCCAACATCCCTATCTTGCCCTCTCCTACTATCTAATCCATCGTTTGGCAGCTGCTTTTGAAAACGTGGGCGTCCGCGTAACGGTGGTGGTCGTCGGCTGGTGGTTCCCCTCGACGGCCGACGAAGACGAGGAACAACGGCTATGACGAGTCTCTGTTCGCGTGTTCCTGGTGGGGATGATCTAGCACGCATGCGTGCGACCGTCATTTTGACGAAGCCATGGAACCGCCGGCGCGCCATACGAACGACGACGGGTCGCGCACTACGAGTAGGGCGCTGGTCGGCTCCGAAACCCCGAAGAACAGAAGGAAGAAGACGAAGAAGACGAGGAGGAGGAAACGGAAGAAAGTGGTAGCAGATTACGACCGACTTGAATCGAGACGATTCGATTGAACCATCAGCCAGAAGAACCGAGGCATCAGGTGAAGCTTTGCTAAGAAGCTGTTGAAGAATAAACGAAATCTCGGCCAAGGGAACGAGGTATCGTCGAGAGATCAAATGAATCAAACGGACAGGATGTCTTCAGCGATCGCTAAAGCCTCCAAGTACACGTACCGCTCCACCGGAGGTGGTACCGCCGATGTCAGCATCGAATACAGCGCCGACCTGAGCGCTCTCACCAGACTGGAGGTAGGTCTTCAAGAACAAACCTTTCTCTTAATCAAAAATTTCCATTTATCTAGCTTAATTCCATTTTTCTATCTAATCGTACCTTAGCATAGCGAAGTATTACAGTTCTGAATTATTCAAGACACGGTTCAACTTGGTATCCTTGAAAATGATTAAAAAAGAAAGAGGGAACAGGAAGGATCTCGCGAATAACTCGAATAACTATCAGATTCACGTAGAAATAATGATTCTAAAGATGAATCCAAGGGGTCAAAGTTGGAACGTCCAACGCGAAGAGAAGATGATGACGCAACAGAGAAGAGATGGAAGATAAATTCGCGGGACGGTCGTTCGTCCGAGTGATATCGCTGGTGATAAGGTGAAACGGATAGGAAGTGAACGATTTCGTGGCTGGGACAAGTGCGACAAAGTTCAGTGACCATAAGGGATATTAGTGCCAATCCCCAGGAGGAACGAAAGTGTCGTAGACCGTTCTTCGGCTATCGGATTGCTCGTGTACGAAAATAGTCGTAAATATCGGCCGTAAATGACGATCGTGCCGTGGACATCAGTGACATCTACGAGGCGTCCACGGACCAAGACCAACGACCCGATCGTTATCGTCCATCTGGATCGTTCCTCGACCGCCATGGATGAAATTCGAAAAAACTTTCGGAGGAAACGTGCACTCGAGTAAGATTGTACTGTTTGTTGAATCGAGGAGAACGATTTTTTTTTTTCTTACCTTGTTAAGGAACACGAATAGACGAGTGCACGTAATTTTGTTCCTTTTGAAAAGAAACGACCCCGATGGACGGTCGCTAAGAACGAAAATCCTTCTGTTCCCTCGGCAAAACGAGTTCTATACGTCTTTCTGAAATATCCAAGCCGCCGCTTGCTTTGGGTATTTTCGTCGCTCGATTACGTAAAGCACTGACCCTCTCCGTACACAGCTTCACGATTAAGATCTAATCCTTTATTGCCTCTCGTTTCAGGACAAAATCCGCCTGCTGCAGGATGACCTGGAGTCTGAGAGAGAGCTGCGTCAGAGGGTGAGTTTATTTTCTACCTTCTAATAATCGTCTTGCGTTTCATCTTTCGGGTTTCAGATGGTTGCATGATTATTTTAACACTTTACCTACCGGAAGACTATTAATAAATTTCTCGATACTACCGTTTGTTGACTGAGGACTAATTAATGTATCTTTTCTTAGTATTCATTAATATATTAGTAATGTTGGGAGTAAATTGGAGTACTGTTAAGCTATCAAGTGTACATTTAGTACGTTTAACAAAGAATTCTTGATTTTCTTCAATTTGGGAAAAGATATAACAAGGAAGGGTTGAAAATGAATCTTAGAATCTTTGGATTCTGAAATGTTGAAAGAGTTTTACTTGCTGTGAGGAGATCGTAAAAATAAAAATACCGAGAAGCATGAATTTCGAGACTTTATGTAATCCGGGCATTGTGAATTTTGAAACAGATACAAAAAAAGCGAGGCTGGCCTGCTCTCCACCATAGAGTGGGGAGCAGTAGGTCGAAATGTCCAGCTCTCGAGTCGCGTCTATTTTTGGGGATGCGCGTCTCTTCAGCGTACGAACTCGCATTCCTTCGTGTTCAGTGTACATGTAACGCGTCCGTGTTTTAAAAAAATAAAAAAAAAACATAATAATAATAGCAGAAAAAAGAAGAAGTCATAACTTAAATGAAAGCTTATGTTCGTGGGAAAATGTTCAGAGTAAAATATTCCAAATTAAACAAAAATAAATAAATTAATTTTTCCTCCTCTATGAGAGTGCAATTTGAAATATTTTTATGGTATCTAAGAGAGGCAATGAAAATTTATTGGAATGACGATCATTGATCGATCGAATCGTTTCTGAAAGTGAAACTCATTTGATACGTGACTTGAACCGGTGCCAGCATCGTCTCAACGCGTTGGAAAAGCAGCAACATGGAAATTATTATCGCGTTAAATATGTATCAAGTGACTCACGAAAAGAAGACGTATTCTTGTTACATAACGTTATGAATGTCTGCTTACTCAACACCGTTTGTATTATCAAAATTAGTAGGCAAACTTTTGAATATTTATGAGAACAGAAAAATTGTTCTTTCTCAAGCTTTTTTGGGCCAAATTATTTGTGATAGAGAAATTGAAATATTTGTGAATGTGTGAAAGTTAAAATTAATATAAAAATTTCAGTCATTAACCGAAGCTTATCTGTAACAAAAATATTCACAGAAAGATTCTTTATTTTGCAATTAATTATCGAGCTTTATATTTTCTTATTCATTGAATTATTTATTGTAATTTAAAAATGACTGAATTGGACATATTTAATTTTTTATTAAATTATTCTCGGGCAGAAAGAATAGCAAAACTATTAATTTTCTAAATGTTTAAATAATTCACGATTTGTGCGTTGAAAAATTCATGGTATTGGGATCTTGAGGTATCGCGGTTGAAACGAGAATGTATTTCACAGGAAGTACAGTTTGGACAATGGGAAGTGCTCCGACTTCCGGAGAACGAACAGTTATGGCGATGTCACGAGTCTCTCTTTTCTCGATAAATGCTTCGTTTGTAATATGAATAAAGCTCCCGATATAGAGTCGGTCTGTCCGGAATTAGATCGTTCTATTCGCGGTCCGAAGAAACCTGACGTCAAGCTTGCAACGAGCTGTTCGCGTCGTTCCTTGAGGCCTCTTTCCAAAACAATGCCGCGCGTCTCGATTACACATGTTCTCACAATATCGTTCAATACCACAGTGACAAAGTACCCTATTCAAAGGAACATTATACAGAATAGAATTAGGTATAATTTTTTCACTTCATATTTGGCTTTTTCATTACTTAATTACTTAATTAGTGACCACAGGGCGTAACAAAAAAAAAAATTTCAGAATAGTAAACTATGATAAAACACTAAACTTTCATTTGTGAAATCATGATTGAGCCTACTACTTAACTTTACTTTTTAAATATTTTAAAATTTCAATGTTAAATGCTTAATTTTTTATATTTTATCATTTTTTCTACTTTTTCTTTTAATCAATTTAACAAGTGGAAGGTCTAATTCAAAAGGCCTATTCAAAAATAATAGTTTTGGTAATAAAATCATTATTTTTCTTTGTAGATCGAACGCGAGCGCGCTGATTTGAGCGTGCAAGTCATCCAACTATCCGAACGTCTCGAAGAGGCGGAAGGTGGCGCCGAATCTCAAGTGAGTATCAAAATCTTATATAATATTATTCGAATATTAAACATACAACTGATTAAATTTGATCTCCCGCGCAATACATTTATTTCATTAATTTATTGATTATAATTAATTAAATCTTCACACGAATAACACGTATTACAACCCCTATTCATTAAAGAAACCTTCAATTATTTTCTAAGGGTCTATCAAACGTATATTAAAAATTTTATTAAGCTTTTGAGTATGGATGTTAAATTAATTATTTGTATTTTATAAATATTCACAGTTTGAGATCAACAAAAAAAGGGACACGGAACTGGCCAAACTGCGCAAACTACTCGAAGATGTTCATCTCGAGAGCGAGGAAACCGCGCACCTTCTGCGCAAGAAACACCAGGAAGTCGTTGTTGACTTCCAGGATCAAATCGACCAACTTTCAAAAGCCCGCGCTAGGTCAGTCAAATAATCTATTTATTTATTTGAGACTCCATTAAATCAACTGCCTTTAGAATCCTTTATATATCCGCATCACTAACCCTTCGTTTCTACTATTTCCTTTAATCGTCTAATAATTTTTCAAAGTATCTCAGCTGGTATTTATCAAAGGTTAAAACCCGGAATGAATCATCACGCGAAACAAGACGTGTTTCGTATCAGCCCTTCGATAATGTTTTCTCATCTCGGAACGACATTAAATTCGATCAGCAAACGGAAACACGAAAACATTCCGGTTAACGGAATCCAAACAGCCGTCGAATCTAAGGCGAGTTATTCGATCTGTAAAGAACATAGTAATCGGGAACACCAATAAACCGAAGTTTAATTATACACACCTGTGAAAATAAAATCGTACCATCGCGATCCTCTTCTTTGAGGTCAAAGCGCGCGAGAACCGAGCCGAGCGTCAATAAACAATTCGCCGGAAGTTCGAAGTTCGTCGAAATTTCCTTTACACGCCGAGGTAAAAGGGGTGAAAAAAGAAATACAGAAAAAGAGGATGAATCATTATGTGTCGCTTTAATTATAGCAAGCATCACGCGGAACGAAAGCGTATTCGAAAATTGTGGAAATTATGCTCGTGTACGATATTGGCTACCGGCCAAACAACGAACTTACTCGCACCTGAAATACACGTAAACTCGTTCCTCTGGCTCTTCTAAACATAACCCGCGTCCTTTTCAACGTCCCGGCGCCCCGACGTCCACAAGGACGCCTTCGTTTCAAAAATTCACCGAGCTGTCATTTAGACAACGCGTGTTACCCTCGAAATCGATGCTATTCGATCTAATTTTGAAATTTCGTGAACAAATTTTCTCGCCTTATCATATACATTCGTAACAGCCTTCGTAGTTAAAAGTGTCATTTAAATTGTGACAAAATAAATTAATGAAGGATGATAGCATCACACTCGATAAATTTAAATCCTGTAGAATATGTTTGAGAATACTTCTTTTAAATAATTGCAGAGGATTTTATTAACATTCTTGTAAAATTAAAATTAAAAGTTACTTTACAGACAAGAAGATTTTGTTATAAAATAATTAATGTTGCCTCATGTGTTTACATGAAGCTACTATTTATTTTAGTTGAAATGACTAAGTTAATCCAATGAATATAAAATTAACATTCTAATTTATAAACATAATCTGCCTATATTTTGTAAATTTATCCATTTTTTGCTTATAAAATTCTATTACTTTTAGTTGTGACAAGTATTGCCATTGATAATTACCGGGAAACCACATATATTCTGTTGATTGACTACTATTATTGACTTATACTACTGCCACATAATGTTTTCCTTAACCCATTGGGAATCAAGCAGTGAAATAATATTATACACGTAACATTCTTTGTTTTTAACAAAGTAACATACAAAATTTGCCATAAAACATTTTTAAACAATACAGATAATTCATAAAAAAATGTAGAGTACTAGCCACAGCTTAAATAATCCTACATCTTTTCACTCTTGTTATAAACATGCATAATAGTCTAAACTAATCTAATATGAAATGGATAAATTAGAAAATACAATTCGGCAATAATTTATTATTCTTTTACTAGGAATATATCCAGGAGTAATAAATAAAATGTGTCTGATCATCGACATTAGCGTTCAATGTCTGCCTGTTTAATTGAATTATCCCAACTAACATTTTGATTAAAACGAAGAACCAGAACTGCTTTCGTGTTTCTATTTAAGAAAATGTTTATAATTTCTCTGTATATAAGGGATCTGGAATCTGGGCTGAAATCGGAGCTCAAAAAATTCTGTTCTAAATATGCTTTCCAGTAAAAATAATTGCGACACTTATGTGTCAACAGTGTCGCGAGACAGCAGTTTATACTTCAACTAGCGAAATAGATCGTTCTTGGCGCCATTAACATAGCACGAGAAATAATAGATGAAACGTGGATGGAAAACGTGCCTGTCATTTGACGCTTCCGTGAACAGTTTCAGAAAAGTGAATATTCTTCATCAATAGTATTCTTTCATTTTATAATATTCAATGATTAAAAATTATAATGTCTTCAAAATTAGAATTTTGAGAATTATCTCTTTTTTTCTTTGATACTAGTGTTGGAGCCTCCTTTCCATATATCACCATTTTCCTTAAGACAAGTTTACCATGCTGGGTACTGTACATTTTATAATTCTCAACTCTTCCATCAATAGAAAAAGAGAAAAAGAAAATCAGTGAAGCTTAAAAACTCAGCGCGAGGTTTCCACCTGTTGGTGCAAAGAGAGGATGTCAAAAACGTCTCCAAAATAGCGCAGTTCCATCTCTCAAGTTGCTTTCAACCCTCTTTCTTTATTACCCATCTTCCATTACCTCCTCTCACTCTTCCACTTTCTTCCCGCTCTTTCCATCACATTTTTCATCATCCAAATGCTTTCCAACTTTCTTCGTCTCATAAATGCGCTCAACATACCATCATCTAAATTTTCACACCTTCCCTCTTTTATTTTCATTCGCACTTCTTAATCCTCTCTCAACTTTGTTTTCTTCCTCGCCTCTCCTCTTCAAAGCGACACGATTTTCCTTTCCACCTCCACTTTCGCAGCTTTTGCTCCTACAACTTTCTTTCTTTCAAGCTCCTCCTCTCCCTCTCTCGTTTTTATTCTCTCCCTCCACAAGAAGGTTTGCTCGCGTTGCTACCGTTCGGCTTATGACTATTTTTAACTGCGCGAGTCGCGCGGCAATCCACAACCCCGCGTTGCCGCGCCATATTAGTACAGGCGACCAGCTCCGGTCCCCACTATCCTCGGAATCAACCGACACCTTACACCCTCTATGTTACGTGTAGCTGGATCATCGATATCATAACGCTTCCCGTTTCGTGGCCAAGGGTGGAATCATCGAAAGACACTTATATGCTGAGTGCTTTACTTGAAATGATATGTTTCATTTAGGAAGAATGTTTAGAATAACTATGTCACGTTGAGTAGCAATCGCTATTTATATAGAGTGGTCAAATCGAATTCAATATTTTTGGAGTTTCGAACCATAAGAGTAATAATTTCTTATTACACAATCACTGACTTTGACCTTCGTACATTTCATATAAAAAAATTCAATGTGATCATACAATCACCCTTTTAATATTAAGCAATTTTTATTTTTATTAAATATTATATAAAGGGGTTTGATGGTGTTATGAAGATGACAGGGAAAATTTAGGGTAGTTGTAGTAGAATCTAGATGGTTCGTGATAATGAGATTCATTTGGGACTTTTTGTAAAGGTTATTTCTATGCAATCATTATAGAAATGACATGGAAGATTTCAGAGTATTATTTATACATATAGCAAGATGAATATAGGATTGATTATGTTTTTAATGACTGGATTGTAATGCAATGAGATTGCAATTATTAGAAATATCTTTTTTTAGAGAACGATGTGATAGAAATGATAAAGTATCTAGGGGTAGAAGAAATATGTATATTCGTTGGAAGAACAAAATTAGAGCTGGAAATGTAAAAATTTCAAAATAAAAGGTAACAATTGAATTTTTTCTGATGCTTAATTAATGAAATTTTCAGAGCTGACAAGGAAAAATCGAAGTTCCAACAAGAAGTGTACGAACTCCTCGCCCAACTCGACAGTGTCACCAAAGAAAAATTGATGTCGATAAAGACTGTAGAGAAGCTCGAGATACATGTAGCTGAGCTGAACGTGAAAATTGAAGAATTAAACCGTACCATCGTTGACATCACCAGCCACAAAACCAGACTATCCCAGGAAAATATCGAGCTTACAAAGGAAGTGCAGGACTTGAAGGTACAGAAATCCACATTAAAAAATTACAAACAAAATTGAACGAACCATCATTTTTTTTCTTCAAAAATAACTCCCTAATTGAAACTAAAATTTTTATAGGTCAACATCGAGAATGTTATTTACCTGAAGACCCAGATCGCAGGTCAGCTCGAGGATGCTCGCCGTCGTCTCGAAGATGAAGATCGTCGTCGTTCATTGGTCGAGGCTTCCTTGCATCAGGTAGAAACCACTTTAGCACATTTAGCTTTTAATATACCAAAATACAAAGAAGTTAGAAAGTTTTCTAATCTTTCTCAAAAATTATTTGGAATTGAGCAAACAATGCATGTTAAATTACTGAATGACTTAAAAAAGACGTGAACTAAGATCTCTGGGTGGCCCTACTTGATATATTTTAAATTCAATTAAATTTCGAATGAATAATGATCAACAGGTGGAAACGGAACTGGAATCCGTTCGCATTCAACTGGAAGAAGAATCTGAAGCACGTTTGGACATTGAACGGCAATTGGTTAAGGCTAATGGTGAAGTACAAATATGGAGATCGAAATACGAAACTGAGGCCAATGCTCGCGCCGAAGAGGTAATTATAATAAAATACAAAAATGTTATTATAATTAGATTTATCGTGGTATTCTAAATATTTCATTCCATTGTTGGAATATAGGTAGAGGAATTACGTCGCAAATACAGCGCTCGCATCCAGGAACAAGAAGAACAGATTGAAACCCTGCTGGTGAAGATCAACAACCTTGAAAAACAAAAGTCTCGCCTACAATCTGAAGTGGAAGTCCTGATCATTGACTTAGAAAAGGTATAACATCTTTTTCAATTTTAAAATCAGGTCTTATCAAAGTATCATTGCACTTTCATCAGTAACACTAATTTCAGCTGACTGACTTCTTGTCATAATTCTTTTTTATTTTCTTTAAACTGAATTAAGTTTGGAAATTTTATATTAGGAGCTATTTTCACCACAAAAATTACTAAATATACTTAGAATAATATAATTTTCATTTTCTAATTATTATACTTGTGGAAAATTGCATGAATTATAAATAATTATTTCATTATTTGTTTGGCAATCGAGGAAAAATGTTTGTAATTCTGGTAAGACTTCACCAAATTTCAACTGCAACATTTTCTGCTTTGATTATTAATGGTGTTCTTTTTTATTTGTTAAGGCCAATGGAACAGCTCGGGAGCTCCAGAAACGCGTTGAACAACTAGAGAAGATTAATATCGAACTAAAGGCTCGTTTGGATGAAAGTATGGCGATGTATGAACAGAGCCAACGTGATCTTCGCAACAAGCAACAAGAACTTCAACGTACCAATGCTGAACTCGACAAAACTCGTGAATTGAAGGACCAACTGGCTCGTGAGAACAAGAAATTGGCAGGTATGTTCTTTAATTTCATGTCACTCAGAATCACTAAGATTATTAGAGTTACAAGATTTTATCGAGTTTCTGGTATTGGCGCTACTGGGGAGGGACCAGGGTGGGCTTAATCTTCCAAAAATATGGATCCTCCCCCAAAATGTCAACTAACCCTATCACCATTCTAAAATTCTAAAATTCCAAAATCCCAGAATTCTGATATCGTAGATTTTAATCCTAGATATTATTCGATTGTTTCAGATGACCTCAGCGATGCTAAGAACCAACTGGCCGACATGAACCGCAGACTTCACGAATTGGAACTGGAACTTCGTCGTCTGGAGAACGAACGTGAAGAACTTGCTGCTGCCTACAAAGAGGCTGAAGCAGTAAGTAGAAGCATTCCATTTATTCTGATAATTTTTTCACTCTTTTGCAATTTTGTTACAAAATATTGTCAATCTAATATTTTTATTTTCTTCAAAATTTTGTATCATCACGTAACACACAATATTTCTATAGAGAATTTTAAGTACTATTTGACGAAGAAGTCTTATACGAACTGTGAAATGATTAAAAAAAAAAAATCAATTAATTACAGGGACGCAAGATAGAAGAACAACGTTCCCAGAGATTGTCTGCTGAATTAACTCAACTTCGCCATGACTACGAACGTCGCTTGACTGAAAAAGATGAAGAAATCGAATGCATCCGGTAAGTACCTAAACGATTTTTATTTATATTCTTTTCATTTTTAGTTTGCAATAATTCATAATAATGCTCGTAATTTCTATTTGCAACATCAATGTTAATATTTAGTTTAATTTAGATATTATTGAATAAGCAGTGTTACAGTTTCCAGGTATAGTGTTTTTATTAATTCCTAAAACTCATTACTGGAAATTTATTAATATTTTCACACTTTGATATTGAAATGGTGAAAACAAAAGTATTTCTGTTGAAATACTAAAAAATCATTCACAACTTTCCTCTTGTTAGTAATCATCTACTATATTATAATATTCTATTATTTATACTATCCTCTACTATTTAAACTTTAACAGTCCTATCTCAAAGCAAATATGTATCCGAAAGAGAATATTCCTAAGGGGTACGAATTTTTAGCTTCTGACGCAATCTATTGTATTTCCGGTACAACCACTGCCATGTTCGACTATTAATAATACAAGGTTAACTTTGTCATCGATCAGTCCAATAGATTAATCACCGTGAATATTTTCAAACCATTCAGACAATGCTCGAGGGAATATCTTGTTACAATTTATTTACTTATTTATATATATGTACATACTATGTGCAAAATTTGCCAAGTGCCAAAATCAAATCGTCATCAAGTGATGATAAAACACTGAGAATTTTGTTTATGAAAGATGAAAGAAGATAAAGAGTGCGTCATAACATCAAGAAGAGGAAAAGTTTTCTTTGCAAAAAGAATTTCATACGAAATATAAAACACAGAAGATAACGATATACAAGAAGAAATTTGATTATTTAATTAAGGAAATAATATTATTGAAGTTTTTCAATATTTTCCCATTATGGCTAATACGTTCTCGGTGAACTTCCATATAAAAGAAAAAAAAGAAATAATAATTCTACCATTATATTGCATTATGAGTGAATCTTGATAATCTATATTAAACCATAACTCTTCACTAAAGAATTAAAAATACTATTAAACCAATTAACTAAGAAATACCATCCAACTTGGTTAAGGACGAACGGAAATGAATCAAAGATGATATTCTACAAGAAATTAATTGATTACCATTGAGTATGAATCATCGACACTTTTTGGGTCGTTAATAGAGGCACGTAGCAGCGATACGCACTCAGTGCGCAACCCTTCTATTAATAAACGACGTTCAAAAGCGATTAGTCGCGATCCAATTATTACTGGCAGGTGCTGATTGGCCGGCCTCAATGTGGCAATCGTAAGAAAAACCTACAAAAGATAGCACCGCTCACGATCGGCCCAATTTTTCTCGACCATTTCAAGTGTCACCTCTGATCATCCGACTATGAAAGATCAGTGAGTAAAATCAACAAACAGTTTCCCTGAAACCACCCCCCTGTATCTAACACCTTCTCACGGTACACGATTCAATTAACAATCCTCCTAAAACAAACGTGAAAAGAAATTCAGCGTCTCGTAATTTCTATTCAAGGTAGATGTTGGATGAAAAATTAACTATACCCACGTACAGACACTCCGAACAAATCCGTCAACCCTTTGAGCCAGTTGAACGAATCGATACTCTTCGATTAAGATCAATACAACAAAAATTGAGAAGAAAAGAAATTGTGTCAGTGATCTAAATTTGAATCTTCTAATATATTTTATTAGAAAATTTGATCTGAAACAAAAGAAGAAGCTCGTGGATCTAAAATTTTCGGAATAAAAGTGAGAAAATTTCATCTACTCCGTGATAAAGGAAGGAAGCAATAAATAGTGAATGTCAAGCTTCTAATAAATATTAGATAGTTTGATCTATAAAAAGAGAAGAACATCGACCTGACATAAACTTGGGAAAAATCTTTCATTTCAAGAGGCTACGAAATTTGAAATTTGTGTAAAATGGCAGGTTACTTGCCCCCTATGTACGTACCCTCCGAGCCAAAATGGAAGCACTGGCCCACCTACATCTACGACAAAAACTACAGCTGTGGGGTCAATTATTATCAACCTATGCTGGATTACATAGAGCGGCAAGGTAGAAGTAATTATCGAAGTTCAAGGATGTCAGAACCACCAGAGTTACCCTGGTCCGATGGTAGAGCTTTATGGGAGGACAAACCCGTGGAACCGTACTCGAGGCACGAGCTTATTAGACGAGCGATCGACGCCGAAGATGAAGCTAGGGATCACCTGTCCCACTTCAAGGTATACGAAGAAAGAAAGAGTGAAAGCTGGGCCGATGCGAAACGTTTCGTTGACGCTGCGTGACTCGACGACTGCCTGACCTTTTCGAGTTTCTAAATTTGGTGTCGCGGAAGGGGCTGCTCTTCTTCGAGTACACCTCGTTCGATGTCAGATGCCTACCGTGTCTTTCGAATAGAAGTTTGTCAACTGGACAAAGAAAACACCTAGGGAATTCCTTCAGAAGGAAAGTCACGGTCTCGGTTAACCCTTGAACAGCGGAGCCTGGGTCAATCGTGGCCCAAACTTACAAAACGTGTACAAAAATATTAACTTCAATATGTAATTTTTAAACGAAATAGTTTCGTATATTGGAAGAATAATTTTCAAAAGAATGGTGCAAAATTTAGAAATACAAGATCAAATTAAAATTGAGGCTCTCTCCATGGTGCGCTGTTCGAAGGTTGACACACTTTTTATGAAGTAGACGACTTCATTTGCGAATTTTCAAATAATTATATCAGTATCCAAAATCTCTCTTTTCTAAATTTAGCAATAATATAGTAGGTCACATAAGTATTCGTATTTCTTATTAGAAACTGGACGTTTGCAATAAATTAATTCAAGTTAGTATTAGTAATTCATGAGTCAATATAACATGCATCAAAACATTTATATCCGCAAGCATATAGATAATCGAGTAAAAAATATAAAATATACTTTATTACACAGGTTGCCAAATTATTTTTGGCAATATCATTGAACCAGGCATACTTATCTATATACGTGCTCTTAAAGATACGTTTTCTAAAAACAATTTCCCACTGAAAGGGTTAATCAAGAAGATACGAATACTTTGACGACTCCCTATAAATCAATTCTAAACTCGGTAGAAGTCGTTTCGCTGTTAGAATATTATTTCCATTTGTTCCAATAACTGAACTCCTCGCCGTCCGATTACCGCCCCACTGTCACCAAAGTTTAATTTAAGATCGTCTCGGTAGACGATTGCCAACGTTCAGAATGTTCGTCGTTGAGATTCGAGGAACGTGCATAGAAAGCGGAAATCCCTGATCGGCTTATTGTTATTAATAACGCTCGCCAAGTAGCCGTCGACCCCTTCGACGTTTCGGAATCCCTATAAAGCCGGTCCCCAAATAAAAATATCGCGGAAGCGAAAGGAATCAGTTGGCAACCGGTTATTTGGATCGAGGAACAAAAGCGAAGCTATCGAGACAGCGAAGGTGTCTGCCAAGTCACCGTGCGTCTTCGTATCAAAAGAGGAAAAAAAAAGAAAAGAAAAGAAAAGAAAGAAGGAATATCCATCTCTCGTATCCCAGCTGGGAGAAGTTAAGCTCGCGACTTGGCTCGTATTGGCAGTCGTTCTCGAGTCTCTACAGAGGTTCGATCTCGAGTACTTCGGTCATATTCGAGTTCTGCACATTCGCTGCAGCTAAGTTTAGTCTCAGCTCGGGATCGCAGAGGGTGTAGGCACGGCCCGTAAACGCTTTCTCTCTTTCGTCCGCGAGCGAGCATCCTCTTCACCAACTGACGTGTTTTACCGTATCCAAAGATAGCGAATCGCTCGGACTTCAGCTTGTCGAAGACAGCGCAGGCCAGCCACGTGACCAGAGAGGTGTTCCCACGAAAACTCGAAGAAGTGCGACTGAGATCGTTACCGTTACTGGTGCAGAGCGCGGTTGTCAGGAATCGGGCTAGACAGATCCAGCGAGACATGGCCAACATCGAATTCCAGTCCCTCAAGGACATTCAGAACATGTCCGAGGTGCAGGACGCCCTTGATCATGGCAGAAGTCTTCGAGGTAAATCCGCGAAAGCGATCGAGTTCCATTTGAGGGCCGAAGCCTTGAAGAACCTGACCAGGAGTCAAGAGTTGGCTGACATCAGAAAGTATCAGAGAGAGAACATGTCGGTTTTGTGGGATGGCAGGGACCATCTCAGGCTGATGGAACAGAGGACGAGGAATCTGATCGACGAAGACAAACTGACTGCTCCATTGAACAACCTGAGCAGAGAGCTGAGAGGATACGAGGAGAAGTCTAGCAACTATTTCCTGAACAAGAGGTACCAACGCCTATTAAGACCCGCACGGTTGTACGGATGCCTTGGAATTAGACCCGCTTGATGGATGTAAATTCCGGGTAGATTTAGGTGTCGTAGTTACGTGGGTAAAAAGAAAAAAAATGATGTGACACGAAACGATGAAATGATATGATCAATAAAACAAGAGAGATTTCATTATACCTTAATTTTTGATTCGGGGACATCGTAGATGTAGAATAGATCATTGGGGGATTATTTTCATTGATCTATCGTTCGGATTTTGGCTAGAGTAGCTTTTAAATTCGTACTCTGTAGGTTTTATAGAAGATCAAGTGTTCGGAGGTGGAACAAGGAATGCTGAGATATTCTGTACATGCAACTAGCACCCTTTTCACGTTTCTGTCGTGGTTACAGGAATGGTAATGCCTTTCAACTATGTGGCTAAACTAACTGTATCTTGGAACGTCTAAAGCACGAGGGTCATTCTAATACTTTATATTCTTTTGAAATTAAGTACTAACACTCTTCCTCGAGCATTCTTAATCGTTCGTCAACAATGAATTTAGGGGAAAGTTGTAATATACCAACAACCCTAAGTTCCGTTCACTGTAACTTGAGCTAGTCTCGGTAAAAATGAAATTTTAAACAAGTGATTTGTAGTACAAACGAATAAAAAATTTTCATTGCATATAAATTGTCATAACTTCTAAGATAATTATAATATTTGGTTGTGGTTTTACTGATTATAGTCAAAAGAGTAGTGATTAATTTTGTAGGGAAAATTTAGAACAAAATAACTTTTCTTCGCACTAAATATCAACGTACACGTTAATATTCATTCATTTGTTTTTGTAAAATACAGCTCACTAATGGAAAAATCGAGGACTAGCTTTAGTGATACTGCACGATTCCCTCCTATATATTTTCAGAGATAATAATCATGATTTTCCTCCAAAATCGTTTCTTAATCGCCTGGAAACTGTAATATCGCTAAAAAATTCTATCAAAAGAACCAATGGGACAGCGATTTATGTTCATACAAAATGAATAAATTAGCAAGCAGACCAGTATCGAGATCGAGCAGCTGAACGCCCGCGTGGTCGAAGCGGAGACGAAGCTGAAGACCGAGGTACAACGCGTGAAAAAGAAGTTGCAGATCCAGATCACCGAACTGGAGCTGACTTTGGACGTTGCCAACAAGAACAACATCGATTTGCAGAAGACCATCAAGAAACAATCGCTCACCTTGACCGTAAGAAAACAGAACCCACTAATTAATTGATTTAATTAATTTTTACTTGAAAATAGAAATTTAATATTTGTATTATTTTTAGGAACTCCAAGCTCACTACGACGAAGTTCAACGCCAACTGCAGGTAACCCTGGACCAACTAGGAATCAGTCAACGACGCCTGCAATCATTAACTGCCGAGCTCGAGGAAGTACGCGGCAACTATGAATCTGTAAGTACTGATTCAATTTGAAAATTTGAATAATAATCGATATATATCGATTTATAGTGCTTCTCGTCAACACCAGGAGTACCATTGTGCATACAGTGCCTCTGGTGTTAACAAGGAGAATTTAAATCAATGTATCTTTTACGTTCCCTATCGGTCAAATCAAGAAGCTCATTTTTAGCACCAAACAGTAGATAGCGCCATGTGTTTATGCCGGTTTTTTTTAAATACACAGAATTTTCAGCAACCATTTATTCAGAAACGAAGCCTTGTACGGGAAAATTTCACTCCGCAGTTTCAATTTAATTTTTCATGTAGATTTAAATACACTATATGTAAATATTTAAATGAATCCATACCAAAAGTCTTTTAAGCAAAATGGAAATTAGCAATACGCTAATTAACATGTTATTCGTATTTCTAAAGGCCCTCCGTGCAAAGAGAAGCGTCGAACAGCAATACGAGGAATCGGTTAGCCGCATCAACGAGTTGACCACCATCAACGTGAACATCGCTTCTTCCAAGGCAAAACTCGAACAAGAATTAGCTACCCTGGCTGGTGATTACGAGGAAGTTACCAAAGAATTGAGAGTCAGCGACGAAAGATACCAGCGAGTACAGAACGAATTGAAACACACCGTGGAGATCTTACACGAGGAACAAGAACGTATCGTGAAGATCGAGGCCATCAAGAAGTCTCTTGAAATTGAAGTGAAGAACCTGTCCGTCAGATTGGAAGAGGTTGAAGCCAACGCTATTGTTGGAGGCAAACGAATCATCAGTAAACTCGAAGCGAGGGTAAGCTACCCCAAAGAAATACTGAACATAATTTTCATATGTTAAAGAAAATCCTGAAGAACACCGCTGAGCTGATCTTCAAAATCAATTACAACTTTGTAAAAAGAAAATTGAAGCTCTATAATACCATGTGTTTTTTACAGATTCGTGACCTGGAGCTCGAGTTGGACGAGGAGAAACGTCGACATGCCGAGACCGTGAAGATCCTCCGCAAGAAGGAGCGTAACATCAAGGAGGTGATGATCCAGGTCGAGGAGGACTCGAAAAACATTGCTTTATTGCAAGAATCATTGGACAAAGCGCACCAGAAAGTAAGCATCTACAAGAGGCAGCTGCAAGAACAGGAAGGCATGTCCCAGCAGAGCGTGACCAGGGTTCGCCGATTCCAAAGAGAATTGGAAGCTGCAGAGGACCGTGCTGATACCGCCGAAAGTAACTTAACTTTGATCCGTGCGAAACACCGCAGCTTCGTCACCACCTCCACCGTACCCGGTTCTCAGGTGTACCTCGTCCAGGAGACGAGGAGTGACCTGTAAAAACACGACCGCCGTCGACACCCAATCCTTTGCCACTTCGAACGCCACCTCGTCGTCATTAGAAACGTATGTATCACGCGATATCGCGTGCTCGATCGTTAACTATTTAATGGCAGAAATAAAGCTCAGCCCAGGACCGGATTAAGATTCCTGGGACGGGAGGCTGTCAAACCATCGAGAGCCTCCTTGATTCAAAAATCGAAATTTATTTTAAATAAAATAAGAAAAAGGGCAATGGTAAAATAAAATTTCATTTTTAATATTTTTTCACCTAAATGGAAGGTTTATAACAGGACCTCCTGCAAAAAGGAAGGAGGTACCCACCTTAATCCAAAGCTGGCTTTGCCAAAACAGAAAGTTATTTCTATCATTTTCCATAGGTGTTACGAGCAAACGACGAACCAAAGGAAGAGCCTCAATAAATCATCGTAAATAAAAAAAAAAAAAAAAAGAAAAGGTCAAGAAGAGTTTCCAACGGATCGCAATGCAAACGTCGTAAATAAAGAAATATTAAAATTAATAAATGCTACCTTATTAAAAATCCAACTTACGACAACGCCCAACGATCCGTCGTAAATTCGATGTAACTTGGCCAACGAATCGCGGTACCCGTCGCAACGAACCAGAAACCCAAAATCCAAAAGGCAAATCAACGCGAACAATCATCGTGTGAACTCGCAACGATCGTCGTTATTGGATTAAATATAAGAAAATCATTATAATATACATACATAATATATACGTTATTTATATATGCAATACGTAAAGAATCAAGAAGCAATTCGTTGTATTTTCCTTGTAATCTATCATGCGAACAATCACGAAGCGTGAGGAGTGGAAATATATTGTTAATAAATTTTAAAAAAATATATATATATATCAAAGTTGAGACGCGAGACGAGATGATTGTACTCCTTACGCTTCTTCAATCGCACTTGTATTTAAATGGATTAACTTTAATTCTACTTCTATTATTATTCTAGATAGGTACTATTGCCCATACACACAACTCTCGCTGTACGACATACACAAATAACCTGTGTCAACGATAATTTAATAAATAAACTGAAACAAGTACGTACGGAATCGATGATAATCCCTGGTCAACCGGAAGTCACTCTCCTCTTGCGCGTTGTCGAGTATCCTTTCACACTGATCTAACAGAAAAAAAATTGATACGATGAAAATTAATATTATTCGTTATCTAATTATTAAGAATAAGAAATACATAGTTAATTTTTTAATTTAATTTTTAAACCTACTCAGCCTGATACTAATCAAACTATTTTTCTTTCTTTGGATTATTGAAAATATAATCCTTTTTCATATTTTATGCTTGAAATATTGTTATGAAAATGGTTTAGATTAAATCTCTTCCCATCATTCGAATAATCTAAAATCTAATTATTCGGTGCGTTTAAATTTTTAATGAGAAATAGCGGAAAGGGCGGAGAGTGAAAGATATTGAAGAATGGGCGACAACGAGGCAGACAATTGTTAAAGTAAATTTAATTTCTTCGAGCCAATTACTTCTCAGACCACTATGGCGTTTATTAGTAGGGTCCGCTTGGACAAGCAACGCAAGAGGCTCAGATCTCGCATAAGTCGCGAAACTAATTAGTATCGTCCTTCCATAAACTGTCGACGAATAGTTTTCTTTCTTTTTGTTCCTTTTTGTTTTTTAGAAAATTCTACGCTGGTTAACAAATATCATCGTAAAAAAAGGGGTAACGTGCAAGGCTGATAAATGATCGCCTTCGGACACGACTGAAACGAGACCAGCCTCCAGAATTCCATTGTCCCGTTAATTACAAATCAAATGTTAATTAATCGTTAATAACATTAGGTACGTATATCTATTAACAGTATTAAGATTCACCCACACCGTCAGGCACACATCATACTGCGACAGTGGATGATCAATGATCGATTTAATCGATAATCATTAATATCTGAATTTAATATAAATTATATGTATAATTATCTTTCATACTGGTAAAGAAAATTTTCTTTAAATATATAATCAACGTGTAGTCGTGTAATAATATTTTATGAGTATCTTCCTTCGCATCGACAGTAGATAGAACTATAATTAATTAATCCTCGAATGATGGAGCTGGGTCTTTGCTAACCCAACTTAAATTTAACACTTTAAAGATCGTATAATTCCTTTTCATCTAAAATAGAATTATTGATAAATTTATATTATATTTCACAGCTTCTATCCTATATTTCATGAAATTATCATTTTTAGAAATATAGTTTACAGAAATCCACGTATCGAAGTGAAATTTTCCATTTTTATTTTCTAAAGCTTATCTTATTTATATTTTTTTTACAAGTCGAGTGTCTAACAATTAAAGCACCATTGCATAATACATTTTAAAACTGACCCAGCTTCCATCATTCCTTATCTATTCAGCTTTCTATTTTATTTTCAATTTAAAAGTAATTGTGGATCAAGTTCTTATGTTAATATATATTTTTTTTAGTATTTCTTATTTTTTTGCAAAAGATAATAGATTCTAAATACTGTATGAATCGTATACAAGTCCTGTAGCAAAAGGATTAGAAAATGTTTCTTCTATTAAAACTCGTCGACACTTCTACACGTTTATCAAAGGCCAATAAAGGGAAAGAACCGCGTGCCTGTTACAAACATACGTTACATGTAACTAAAAAAAAAAGAAAACAAATACCATCCACCAATCCACCCATCCGTCATTACGAAAAATTACAAGTGCTCGTTCTATTCTTATGTAAATCGTCGATAAACATTTACACCGTTTATGTACAGGGTATAATACATTAGAAAAAAAGTGGAAAACGATAAACAGAAATATCGTCGCTACGATAATAATCGATTAATATTACAATTAATTATAATAATGGTAGGTACTCGTTTTAGAGAAATAAAAAAGAAAAGAACAAACAAACGAATAGCGCGTCTAAAGTTAAGGAAGAAGTTTTCGTTTATAATCAGGTCGAATATTACGTACTTCGGTATGATAAGAAAAATTTTGTCTGCCTGCAAGAAAAATTCATTCGCACACGATAGAAATAAGTCTAAGGAAAAATAATTTCACACGATCGTTTAAATAATTGTATTCTTAACCCATTTGTGCCATGGTCACACATGATAAAATGGTACTGTAAAAAATTCAAAAATTGTTACTCTGTCAAAAAATAGTATTTCAGTAAAAAAATTATCAAGTCAAAAATTTTCAAAGATTTATCTAAAATTTCATTTATGGACTGCAATGTCCAACAATTGCATTATTATGCCAAAAGATTCATACTTGAAATCTATCATTTTCATGATTCATCTTTTTTATTAAATACAAAATCTATGTTAAAAGTCATTTTACTTCCCTAAGTTTTATAATAAATCAAATGATACAAAATTAAGATATGTTTTCATGATTCGGACCATTTGTCACTTTAACAGCTTGGTACAAATAGATTGAAACGTTAAAAGTATCTCAAAAAATTGTTCGAAAACCTTCAAATGAATAAAAAAAAAAAATGGTATAAAAAACAACGATAAAAAGAAAGGAATTTAAGATTAATAATAAATGGTAACACAAGGAAAAAAGGACGCAACAATGAGTCTACGTTAGCTAGATGCACGCCAATTCCTCTAGAAAAAATTCGATTGAAAATCAGGGCATTATTTAGCGAATCTAATCATTACCGACTGCTAATTAACGCGTAATGTGGTTACACAAAGTAAGTCTGAACGCTATGGAATTGTTGCACCGCTTCAACGATAATATACCTGAACTCTTAAATATTACAGTTAACATTCTAAAATATACATTGACACGTTGCACGGCAAAATGATTTCCATGATACTTTAACAATTCATAATTTTAACAATTCAAAAATTCATAATTTTATTATGATTCCTACTTTGAAACAGAATGATTTTTATTAAAAATATTCCTTCTAATAATAAATATTTAGAAGACAATTCTGTGAATAAATAAAAATAAATAATATTTTTATTACAACAGAAAACATCCTTCCGTACAATTTTTATTCAATACACCTTAAAAATCAATTAATTCTCGGGGATGTTTGTTAATTTTTTCACAAACTTTTCATCAACATTCAAAGAAATCAATATGCCAGTCAACCCATCGACGTCAACGTGACGTTGAAACGATCCAACAACCCTGAATTTGATAAATTCTTTCTCCTGTAACCGGTGCTCGCAACACCCAATACACGTAACCAAGAAAAAAAAAACGCGGTTTTAAACTAATAAAAGCGGACGACGCCAGGAGAGCATCGTCCCAAAGGTACAGGTATCTCGCATTCTCTAATACGATGCAGGTATACACGCCACCATTTTGTTTCGCAACGCCACGATTTCTATTATCGTTTTACGCCTTTGCTATATTTCCTCTCATTTTGTACAAGGTAGGGCTTAAAAACGGTAAAGAGGGGAGTAAAGAAGAGCGGGTTTGAAATATATTATTTGGCAGTTCAGTTATTTTGTCGGATATGAATCAGACTCTGTTCGATGCTTCGACACCCAGGTGACACGATGCCCTCTTTCTAGGATCATTTCGATCGAAAACGCCACCGATCGCAGATAAATCGTCTCGTCGCTTGGAATTATGAGACGGTAGATATGATCTCGTTGACGAGGAAAAAATATCTTTCCATTTCGAATTTTTAATACGTTTCTTGCAAAATAGAATATTGTACACTGATGAAAATGATATTTTAGTTTAGTAAATTTCACTGAGAAATAGAATATTTTATTAAGAAATTGTTGAATATTAAAAATGAATTAAAAACACTTTTTCAACAATATGGAAGCAAATAATGAATCAAAATTTAATTATATGGGTGAAAGATATTTTTTCTCGAAGCAACGTGCACATGTGTGAATACTCGGTGTATACATTATCGTTACTGGTCTCTCGCGTTAGTTAACATTCGATCTGTTATTGGCACAAAATTGTACTAGTAATATGGAAACACCTGCGGGACGTGACCGTCGACGAAGTTCCATAGCCAGATGATCAAAGAATGTGATCCCAATTGTTGGATTTCTTTCATATCTACTGTGGAACTGCATCAACGCACAGCAACTATACATCATTATTTATATACATTTGGATGCAATGGAAGCTTCTTTTGGTTAAAAATAAGTGTAGAAAAAAGAACTACCCATCAGTTGTATTTCATTTTGAAAGAATTCTGAGAGAACTTAAGGAAAGCCAAGGGAACCTAATCACGGTCTAGATTAGATTTTTCTAAATCATCCTAGGGTCTTCCTGGAGTTTTTCTAAGGTTCTATTAGGGTTTCCTAATTTGGAAATTGCCGAACTTGAGATTTTTATAGATCTAAATTGTCTGGATTTCTAAATTTCTAAATTTCCATTTTACAAATTTCTATATTTCTAAATAGCTCAATTTTCAACTTATCAAATTTGGAAATTTTTAAGTAGAAACATTCGTAAACTTGAAAACTGGAAAATATGGAAATCAAAAAATTTATACGTGATAACACTGTTTTAGGGTCCTCCCAAATTCCTCCTAAAACCCTCCCAAAACTAAGCGCCAGTGATGAGCAATTCTTCCTTTTACTCTCACCCTCAACTCTTGAAATCCTCTAAATTGCACCCAAGTGTACGTACCATAAATTAGCCTACGTCGTAATAGGAATGTACGAGAAAAACGCCTCGAGAGGAAGCGAAAATATTCGTTCGTTAAAAAACAGCGTAAACTCGAGTGGCGTTACGCGTTGAATCGCGGTCAACTATTATAGTTCTCGATTATATTTATTTAATCGTTATCTACTATAGTCGAATATTATAGATTGCTCAGTCTTTTGGTGAATTGCAGAATCTGCGATATCGAGACGGGAACGCGTTTGTTCTTTGCTCGGTGACGTTTCCACGTGGAAAATGATATTCTATCTTGCACAAAGAGGAGATTTCCTTTTAACGAGAACAATGATTTATTTATTCAATGACTCGCTAATGATTTTCAATTGTATCATATACCCGTATTATTTGAATATCGGCGACATTCAATTTGCTCAAAGAGGATCGCGCAGCTGGGTTTCGAACGGTTCTCATTGTCAGTGTTTCGAAAACGGAAGAGAAAAATCGTCGTTGGTAGAAAAAAAACAATATAAAAATACAGTTATGTGTTCGAAGGACCCTCCGTTCTTTTATACAATAATAATCGCAAGTTCGCAGATTTTCACGTTGACTATTGGATGACGAAGATACTTTTTTTCCCTTCTCTTCTTGCTGATTATCTCTTACGTTATCTTCTCTATTGTATTCCATAATCATCATCTTCTTCTTTCTTTGTATTTCACTGTTCGTGTTCTCCTTTCGTGATACGCCTACGTGCTTCATCGAGGAAGTATACACTGATTTTTTTCTGTTTTTCTTTTTTTTTGTTTTTCTTTTTCTTTAACATTACCGATTTAACGAACCATGCTTTGTCAGAAACATGATTTATTTAGCTTCGCAGAGAGACATACCATACGCATTCTTGCATTCTGCACTCGTTTCACAACAGATGCACGCAAGCCTGTCCTCGTGTTTGCGTTTTGTCCCAAGAAACGTATACCGCGACAAGTATTCTCCTTCATGTTCTTCTCCGAGAACGCGAATTTAAAGGAAAACGTATAGAATATCACCGGTGAAAAATAGAAGAACGAAGGGGAATACTTGAGGGAAGCACACGAAGCTTATCAATCATGTACCATCGTTATCAGTCGCATCTCTCGTTTTCCTTTCATCGATTCATGAAAAAATTCCCGAAAATATAATTTCTCCAATGTTTTACTTTTTTTTTTATCAATTCATCTTCACCTCTCTTTCTCTCTCATTTTCTTTTCTAATCTCTTCTTCGTTCAGTCTATCTTACACTCTCTCTCTCTCTTCTTCAATTTTTAATTCTTCCATTCTTTCACTCTTGCTCCTTTCTCTCACGCAAATGATACATTCATTCTTGAGCTTAGCACCCTTCAATTTCAGCCTTCCTGTGTTACAAAGGAAACACGCTTCGACAGTCCCGCGTATCGTGACGCGCCGCCTTCAGCTCGCGTATTTACTATGATACGCAAAAATATTTTGTCTTGAGCAAAACACCCGGGTATGTCTACGCTAAGAATACGCGCCAGTCTGTTTATATAGTATATATGTATATCCTGGTGTAAGAAACCAAAGTGAAAATCGTGGAAAAATACGTTCGTTGTAAAAACCTTAAGTAGAAACTTAGCGTACCGGAAGAGTTTCAGTTTGAATGATAAAAAAATGAAAAAATAATTTTAGGAAGAGTTTAGAATGTTCCTATTTAAATCATAGTTTCCCATAAAGAAAACCATGTGTGCTTCAACCACATGGTCGTTTATATTAATAATAATAAATTTCTCGATTCTCCTATCTACCCTGTATACACAAACAGGATTAAAATTTTCAACTCTGTACACTCGTAATCAAATCAGGCTTTTGCCAGAGAAAATGGTGATGCCTCGGGTTTCCGTCCATCTCCCTGGGCATCCCTGGGGAAAATGAAGATGCAGCAAACGTGGCCTCGTGTATATATAGATATGTGGCCCACCACCACCCATGGGGAGTTAAATTTTATAATATTTAATAATTAAAAATCATATTACTTTGTTGCTAAATCACTTTTAATATTAAGATTTTTCATATATCTCCATTTTCTCTAAGGAATCCTGATTTGATCCCGAGTGTACAGAGTGAGTCAAGATGGGTAGTAGAATCGGGTAAACCGATGATTCACCTATCGCCCAATTGTATCACTTATCATGATCTACCTTGTATATAAAACGTTAAAATGAGAAACAAGGATATGCATTTCTCTTGTAACACGGTTTGTATGGTATATGCTCCCGAAAAGAAAAGTCCAGTCTCTGCATGCACCGGTAAAGTAACGAATCTCCGTACGACGTAGAAAAGAAGAAACAGAAAATAGGAGACAATAGGAAAATTTACTCGACATGAAGGCCTTTCTTCGTAGAGCTAGTACGAAAGGGGGGAAAAAACTTGCATGGCGAAGAGAATCCAACACTGAGGAACGTCGATCGATCGATCAAGAATGAATTATAATAATCAGTAATCGTCTTGATGCAATGATCCTTTGTGATCAAAGAAATCTTTGGTTTGGTTAAGCGAATCCTGTAGCCCGACAACGAATATACATAATAATACGCGCGCGCGTGTGTGTGTACGTGTATGTGTGTATATATTAATATTCGTTAATATTAATCAATAATGGTCGCTATATAATAAATTTATATATTTCATTATATTATCGCTATTAATAAATATACAGTAGCGGTGTGACGCGTGATCAGGCGTGATCATTCGGTTAACCAAACTGATTTTGCGCGTGTTTTTCGTTAATTAGATCGATCGATCAACTGATCAGCACCTCGATATTTCGTGTGGACTATCCCCGCCGACCCTGTCCTTATTTCTGTCAGTCATAGCTCGTTCACGTTTTCGAAAAACATCTTTCGAGTGGCTGACTACCCTTCTACCGCCTCGCGTATACAAGCTGATAATGGAAATTAGATTACAACCCGACGAAGTTAACGCGATTAAAGGAACGTCGTCTCGATTATTAATTTTTTTTTTCTTACCAGTCTTTCATTAGGCTCTCTGCTTCTCTATAGAATTCTCATTTCATCCAGTGTCTCTCTCTCTCTCTCTCTCTCTTTCACATTCACTTCCTCTCTGACTCGCTCTCTTTCTCGTACGCAGTAACACGGCACTTAAAAGTTTTTATTGCGATAAGTGTTACGGTAAATTGAGTGTCCACAAGTGTGTTTCGAGCACTTTCATTCTGTTTTATCGTATGAACGGTCAACGAGAAAACTGACGCGTCCAGAAGCGTCTCCTCGTTTCACTTTAGGTCCTCCATCGCACCATAATTGGCCAATGATTTTTTAATCCTAAGCGCGGTTAATCTAGCTGCCGCATTGTGGTACCAACACTCTTTCATCACTTTCGACATCACTTGCAGTGCCTGCAAAAACGAAAGTACCTTATTAATTATTTAACACGCTGTTGATTGTTTTTTATGAAGAACAACCGTGACGCACGTGTGACAATCATTAGGTATTTCTTATTTTGCATGTCTTCAAAACAGACCAAAATTATTTGATAATATGAAATATTAATAAAATATTTCCAACGTTTCTTCAACATTGAAGGGAACTTCTTCAGAAGTGTAGGGAGGAGGATTCCTTAAGCTCTCCCAGGGTTCTTTTAAGGTTCTCAAAGGGTTCTCTTAAGATTCTCAAAGGGTTTTCTCAAAGAGTTCTCAGAGGGTTCTCTCAGAGTACTCTGAAGGTTCTTTCAGGGTTCTCTTAGAATTCTTCTAAAACTCCCAGGATTCTCTAAGAGTCCTTCTAAGATTCTCCTAGGATTCTTCTAAGGTTTTCTCAAGGTTTTCTCAGGGTTCTCATAGAATTCGTCTAACACTTTTCTAGATTCCCCTAGGGGTCTCTTAAGGCTCTCCCAGGCTTGCCCCAGGACTCTCCCAAAACTAAAGGCAAAGAATAGGTCGCTCTTCTCCCAACACTCAACCCAGAAAAGCCTACATTACACCCAAAATATACATTCAAATACACTTCTGAAAGAAGCTAATTGCAATGCAAGCGAAACGTTGGTCCTAAATTCTATAATATCAAACTATCTACAGCATCTAATTATCTTTACCTCGATCGACTGCCACCGATTCGGTATCGAGGGCCTTTGTCTATCGGTGCACACAACTTTACGCATCTCTTCGATCGTCGGATCGGAAGGCACCAAGTCGTAAAACGGTAACTGATATTCGTCGTGGATCCCACCGACATTGCATCGCCTGGCGATCTCCCAGAGGATCAGCCCGAGAGCGTACACGTCAGCCCTCTTGAACGATTCAAAATGGTTCATGTTTACCGTCTCTTCGAGAACCTGAAAGCAGAAGCAACAATTCCTCAGCAGCTGTTCACCAGAAGATGAAACTTCCTCTAAGGCGAAATACAAAAAAAATAGTCAACTCCGATTCAATTATCGTTACGAACCAAGTATATATTATTGTTTTAATAATTACCTCAGGTGCCATGTATCGTTTGGTACCGACCCGATTATTATTCAACTGAATGTCGACGGTGTTTGTTCTTACGTCGTGTCTGACGGCCAATCCGAGATCACCTATGGCGCATGTACCATTCGTCTTCACCAGGATATTTTTCGACTTCAAATCCCTGTGAGCTATGGCTGGTTTGCCTTGCGTGCCAACGATCTCCATGTGAAGATGGGCCAACCCCGTGGTGATCGACAAGGCCATTCTGATCATTCCATTCGTGTCCACCGTCGATACGTTCAAGTAATCGAACAGAGAACCTTTCTCGTGATAATCTGTGATCAGCCATAACTGGGTCCATGTACCATTATCTAAAGAAAAATGGAATCAAATGGAATACACGTGAGAATCTGTAAATTGTTTCATTTTCTTTTTCTAGGAATAAAAGTAGAACTTTCGTATGATTTTATTTTTACAAATAAATAGCTACAAGACAGTTGAAATGGTAAGATTTTTATTTCAACAAAGTAGTTCAGTATTATTCAAAGTGAACTTAAAAGAAACTTTAAAATTTTGGAAATGATCGTTGCTCCGGCAGATTGTAAAAGAAATTATTAAACTGCGCAGTCCGTATTCGTAAGCTCGAAGAAATATTTATTATCAATGCACACCGCAAGAAAAACACGAGGTATCGCAATCAACTATTTCGTAACACATTTTCTGTTTTTCTTTTATTTTTATGCTTCATATAATACAAAGATACTATTGTCAAAGCAAACAAAATGTGATTAATTGAACATAATAAAACCTCGTAATAATGAAACATTTTAAAATGATACTTTAAAATGTTGGAAATTTCATTAAATAATATTTTTGTTCTTAACAAATTGTTCTGTCTAAAACACATTTATTATACAAGAAAATAATATAGTTAATTACATACTTAATACTAGTAACTGCGTTACTAGTGACACACGGTAATCGAAATGTTTTATTAAAAATCATCCCAAGTGACGCGTCTCCATATAGGGCCGATACACAACACAAATCTTGCTTATTATTTTTATAATATTTCAAAATCAATAAAATCCTAATAATATTAGCGATGAGTTTCTATAAAAAGTGTTAACGAAATAATGGTCCGAGGATGTTCAATGTATAAATACCTACCCTGAATCGTAATAAACAATGCAGCAAATTTCACAGGACAAAAGCAGAAATACCTTTGAAACAATCTGACCGAGATTGTAATATATTCCTTCGAGCTTGACATTTATAGACCGAAATGTGTCACCATACATATACGCTTAACATAGTCACCTATTAATATTATTTAGGACATTCGAACAAAAGGCCATTCAATAACGATTCATGTCTCTGTTCGAGTTATTATGGAACTTACGAAGTTCCCTTTAACCCTTTGCACTCGAAGATTTCAAAGCATTTAGAATCAAGATTCAAAGATTAATTTCTTTAATTTTTTGCTCAACTATGTGGCATGGTCGTGTTTCGAGCGCAAAGGGTTGAATTTCAATCGTAGATAAAAAAAAATGCTCACGAACGTGTGCAAGCATGGTACCCACCTTTGTTATCAGCCGCGATAAACCCAAGGATATTGTCGTGCCTCAGCATCACCGTCTGATAAATTTCAACCTCCCTGAACCAAGACCTCTCCTCGCGGGAGCTGAAGATTTTGACAGCGACGTTCTCACCCCTCCAACGACCACGCCAGACCTCGCCGAAGCGACCCTTTCCGATCGTCTCCACCAACTGAATCTGGCGGGCTATACTCCGCTGTACCAGAAGCGGCAGGCCTACTTGGATGAGGATGGACATTGAAGAACACAAATTTCAGTATGATTGAAGATAACTCGTCTGATAAACGAATTAAAACAAAGTGCTTGGCGTGAACGAGTTACAATGCAAATTTCGACCCTTCTTCAGATTTTCACAGATAGTTTCACGAGAGTGTCAATCTCGTTTAAGTGTCAGTTTAGCGAAATGGAAAGTGAAGGAATAATTTATTAGATTGAAACATTGAGGGTTGCTGTATTGATTTAAATGGATAGGGGGTAGGTTCGCCTTCCAAAAAATATACTTTGACACACTTACCATTTTGAAATTCTAAAGGTTGAAAATTTCAGAATTCTAAAATTAAAGATTTTCAAGTTTTATAAATTTCCAAATTTCTTAGCTTTAAAAATTCCAAAAGTTTAAGACGTTAAGATTACAAATTCTCAAAATTGTAAGATTACAAAATATTAAAGTCCTAAATTTACGAAATTCTCTGATCAAATTCTCTGAAGAAGGATTACAGAAAAACTAGAATTCTCGTTCGTTAACCCTTTTGTTATAGAGTTAGCCAAAAAGCAAATGAAACATTAAATTAATCATTCACATTTAATTTCTTAAGTATTAATAAACAACGCTACATGAATTTTTTATTTGAATAGTAAATTAAGATTATCAACAATATTCATTATTATTTCATTTATTTATTACTTTTCAAGAGAAAAGGGTTCGCTAGCACGAATTTATACCAAGATACTTTTATTTGACCTACCCGAGCCGCTACCACTGGTTGTCTTCTCCAGCATGTCTCTAATGGTAACACCATCCAAAATGGGTCGATCCGAATCGTCAGGGTCAGGTGGGGTTGGTGGTTTGGTCATGTACACATGATAGATGACCATGACAACCACGCAGATCGCGCATATTGGCATCGCAATCGTCAAGGCCATTTTCCAAGTGACCCATGTCGCGTCATCACCAATCGATGGCACTTTTGGTAATAAATCATTGATTATGCTTTACTCATTAGCGGGATTCTTATATATATATGTGAGATTGCTCAGAGAAACGTGAACACATTCGATATACATTATTACTTTTAACCCCTTTCATTAATAAAGATCATTCCATGCGTAATTATTTTTTAACTTTTTCTTCTTTCTAAATTAACAAAATCACCCGTTGCCTAAGTTATTTATAAAGATATGTATTTTATAAATAAAATGAAATAAAAATAATGTAATGCAATCTGGTTAGTGATACCGAGCGTGTCGAGCAAAGAATTATACATCAGCGATTCTGTATCAATTTTGTAACAGAGAAAGGATCAACTCTCCTCAAACTCTAGTGGTAATATTTCACGGGGAATAGTCCCGAGATGTTCGAAGTAGTTGGAGCAAATCGAATCGATCGAACGTAACACGTTTCTCCAAGCGATCGGAAAAGCCAGCGAAGCGAGACTTGGACAGAAGATCGAAGGATATAAGGCGCGAAAGCTGGCGAAAACGGAGATGTAAACCTTGAGCAGAGACATGCTAAATGACAAACACACGACAAAAGCATGCGTGATATTAGCGGCAGGCACATGCGAGTTAAGGTTCGGTGCAAACGGATCAGAGGGACCAGGACCAAGGACAAACACTTCTTTCAATTTTCAACAAAACGATCTTCGATAATTGCCATCATCGAATCTTACGTCCTTCCTTTGCGTTGATAATGAAGAAAGAAAGAATCAAGCACCATATAAGTACATGTTTGCGTGAAAGAAATAAAAGAAAGCAGTATCTTGATGATCTGCCTCTTCCATCATTTGATCAATCGCCGAAAAATCAGCCATCTCTGTTACCTGTCCAATCAGTCGCAAATACACGGGTGATGCAACCTCTGCATGAGTCATCGCGAGGATACAAGGCCTCTTTCGTGATCTCTAGATCCTTCAAGACATCGAATTGCAGCTCGACTTACCTGGGCTTCGATCGTCAAGCGTGGCGATGATGAACTCCGTCAAGGCGGATGCTGTTAATTGCTTATTCCTCGAAACACCACACGTTAACCCATTCATTCCCAGTTGGTGGAAATAAAATATGTATTTTTCAAGACTTATCATGTATATTTATAGTACATATTATAACACTTGCAATACTATAACGCTGTAATTATAATATTAATATTAGTCCACTATAAAATTAATATTTATATAATAGATTAGTATAAATACCTATTAATTTTATAGTAAACTAATATTAATATTTGCAGTATCATAATATTATAGTTACAGTTTAATAGTAATGCAAGTAAGTATCACAAATAAATAGTCAAAAAAATAGATATTTGGGTATCAATGGGTTATAAAAACACGCTGTTATATATGAAAGAAATTTTTTGATAAAAAAAAACTAAGGGAGAGAAATTGAATTTCGAATGATTGAATTGCTTCACGATGGAAATTGGAAAGATTACGAGGGAGTGGACATCGTCGTGAAAGACAAATATCCGAGGAATCGAATCAATCACAGGACGAGAACCATCCATACAGCAGTCCACGATAAGGCACCAACCAAATTGTTCCCCCACGAGGAATACTATGAGAGACGATCACAAGAGAATGATTGCACGTCCAGAGGATACCCAATCAAAATTGGGAAGAACGTGGAACATGAATACCTTGCTGACTCGCAATGTTAGTACATGAAGATGCGCCCCGACGCTTCTCGTATCGGCTGTGATATGCATCATGCAGTTTTTCTCAGCTTTTCTCAGCAAGTATGGATCGTTTTCACCTTTCATAGCTGATGAAAATAGGGCGGTTCGATAAATTGACAGATTTGATAGAATCGTTCCGTTATTCAACTACTGCAGCTATTGTAACCCTTAACTTTGTAGTTTTACACTTTTCATTGAAGTTTACAATTTGAAGAAAAGTTACATACAGGATGAGTCAAGCATAAAATTGGTGCAATTACATAGAGAATTAAAGCAAAAAAGGAAAATTTCAAAAAAGTGCAAATGTACTTTTCTGATCTCTCCCCCAAAATTTCCAAATTTCGAATTTCCTACATTTCAAAATTCTAAAATTATATACATTCAAAATTTCAGAATTCTAAAGTTACAAGTCTTCAAAAATTTCAGAATTACATAATTGTAAAATTCTAAGAATCTGAAATTCTAAAATTTCCAGAAAGACTTGGCCCACTCCAGAAGAAGATACAAGTTACATCAATAATCAATGCATTTACAAATAAGATAAATCCACAAAGATATACATATTATTATACCACAATTGCGTGACTCATCTTGTAGAGTATAATGAATAAATTATTTTTTCTATTTATAAGTTGCACAGGCCACTGTTCTCTTAACTCAAAGTATATTGAAAGTTTCAAAAATTTATTATATAAATATGGAATGTTATAAATTATTGTCTCAAGTGTCCATTTTATAAACGAGAATATCGAAAGAGAAGACTCGTTATTAAAAGGAGTATGAAAACAAATCGTTGCAGTGAAAGCACGCATCAATAACCAGACATCTATCCCTCGGATTTAACAGAGCCCGTATAATCGATGGATACCGCTTTCGATACGTTCCATCATCCCTCCGTCAATACCGTGCGAATACGCCTCGTTACTCTGTACAACATGGAGCTGTCGTCCATTTTATTCATCCATACCACTCCATTTTCCTTCTTGTTCTTCTGTTTCCATACAACTACCAAGTTTACGTGTCACACGTTTGCCAACAATAATATCAACTTATTTCTCGTTCACTTTTCAACAACAAAACAATGTCATCGATTTTTATTGAATTCAATTCAGAGGAGAATGATACAAACTCTTGATAATATAACATTTTGTGAATTCGTTTGAAGAAATGATGTACAAGAAAAATCATTAAAGTATCATTAAATGAATTATAATGTAATGCACACAAAATTAGGGGGAGTTTTAAGTTATCGTATTAATAATTTTCAATTTGTTTAAAGAATACAAATTTTATAATTTTATCATTTTTGCCTATCTAGAATAAAGTTTTAAATATCATTAATGTGACGGTATGAGGTGTCAAACCGATAGCTTAATTTGAGAAATTAAATAATCATATCTTTAGTAAATGATATGATAATGTGCCGCAATAGATATAACCATTTCCACTGTGATAGTTGACGTGTTGACACATCGACTGTCATGAGGGTCAACAGTGACCTACACCTCAGATTTAATATAATCGAATAATTGAAAAATAATAATAATATAAGATAACAAATTGAATTTGATGAATTATTAAGAACATCAATGATTAATTTTCTAATTTTTTATTTCAAAATATTGCTGCAATGATGTATAGAACTTTATTCTTTCTTTTTTTTTGTACTGTTTGATTAAATTTACATAATCATTCTCTGAAGGAACGAATTAAGGTTGCGAAATATTTTTCATTCGTTTAAACGGTTCAATTTAGACAAGTGTGTGCTGCTCGAGACAATTCTCCCGTTTCACTGATATCACGCCTTTTTTACAACGTCGTTTCCGTAATAAGAATTCATATAACGACACATCAGACGATGCATCGTTGTTGCATAAAATGAAACCGAATGACGTTCCAAGGCTTTTACGTCAAACTGCTCTTGCCTTTCAATTTCACACCGAACGACTCTTCAATGTCTCCATTAAACGCAAATGTTACCATTCGACCGGTTTATTTTATTCAAAGATCCTTTCCAGTTGCATACTTATGCCTCGTAATGACGAGAAAAAACTATAGTTGTATTCTTTAATATCTGATTAATATCAGTTTAAGTCTAAATGATTTTTTAAAAATAAATGCTTAGGTAATTAAAGAAACAGAAAGGGCACCGAATTAGTTTGTACAGTCGCGATCAAATTAGGCTTTTCCAGGGAAAATGCCGATATCTTCCCTCCTGTAGGTTTCCGGGTTCTCAGCCATTCCCGAAGGTTCCCCCGGGTTTCCGGGAACCCGACTCTCCCTGTAGGAATAAGGGCCCCATATATATTTATACGGGATTATTTGAATTGATATTTATTTATTATTCGTATTTCTCAGTTGTATACTAAATTTTATAATATTTAATAAGTAAAACTATATTACTTTTAATATTAAAATATTCAAAATTAAGATGTTGATTCCCTAAATAAATCTGATTTGGTCGTGAGTGTACACCTAATACAAAATCGAGCATATCAGTGTCCATAATTATTTAACTCGTCTTCACACGATTCTAAACAAGGAAAATCGTTCCCTTAGTAAATCAAAGAATCGTAAATCAGTTAAACGTTTAACGCTTTCGAACAACGAGCATTGTTTGATATAACACAGCTCCAGTCCCCCTCGTAATCCTGCAATCTCGCGTTTCTCAGCGCGCTATCCGCCTCTCGACGATGCAATTGTTTGACGTACGAGCCTTCTATGATCTATTTGCCTATTGATAAACGCGTTTGTAGAATTAAAGCTTTGCCGAGGCGCCTACTCTGCGATAAATGTGAAAACAGATCGACGAGAACGTAGTACGTGATTCTGGCTCTTTCCCAGAAAATGTTTATAATTATAACGCGTACGTGTTTATACAGTGTATATGTAGCAGTGCATGGGATACAATCATAAAGCGTGGTGATGTAAGCGGTGGAACGTGAATGTCCTAACTCTGCGTAACGTGCTATTATCGCCATTTCCGAGTTTCTTGACTTCTCGTTTATTCTCATTCAATCTAATTCTCTCATTTTCCTTTTAAAGAAACTGAAAATTCTCTAAGCGAAAAGATAAAGAAAATTTGGGATATCAGTAAAATTATTCTGGTTATTGAAAATAGGAAGTTAAAATATTGGATTAGAAAATTAATCAATCTTTTGAAAGGTTCATGTTGCTAATTAACTTGAAATTCATAAGAGGTGATGGAACTTAAGTGTAAAATTTTATTTTTTAGTCTTCGAATATTTATTAGCCTCCGAGAAAAAAATGAAATATATGGATTAATTAAGCTTTGTCCAATTGAATTTTGAACGTAATTATCAAATGCAACGGCTGATAAGGTGCATGTTACCGTCTCGCAGTCTCTCCCATTCTGTAAACAAATTCAGATAATGGACAATCTTTTGGCTGGATTGTGACATCACGAAATTACGAGCTGTTCGAGAAATTGCGCCGATAAAGCGTGTTATCATCGACGAAATACGCTTGTCGCGCGACGAGACGCGGGAGGGATACATGTTATTTTTCGATACGATACGTTCAATCGATTGCACATTCGCGCGAGCATATTTCCGCGGCTTTCCACGATAAAACGTTTCGATAATCTTCGCTCGACCGACGTCACAACTGCTGGAAATCGTAATCGACCTTGATCTACACCGATCCCTGACCAACTACGATTTTCCGCGGCAGATCGGAGAATTCTTTTTAGGAAACATATAAAATGACGTACATGATATTTTTTTTTGGAAAAGTCGTTATAGATAATTATATGTGCATAGATATTTATGCATTGACATCATTTGTTACTGACGATAATTCATTAAGTTTCATAATGGTTTCTGTACATTTCACTTAGCGAATAATTTACAATTTTAAAAAAGGAGAATAATATTTGCATGAAATTATTTTGCAAGCTTCTGAATGTATAAAGTTGCATTTACAAAAATTACTCTGTTTAAATTAGAAAATATTGCGTTGATATTGAATGTTTTGTAAGATTGTTATTTAGGGTTGTTAATCTGTTAACCAAAGGAAGTCGAGTTCACGCTGAATTTAATAATAGATTTAGTGAAATATTTTTATCTTGAATCGTATTCTTCTATTAATTGAAAGGGAAATATGATTTAACTACTCTATTCACTGTTTATTACACTTTTCTGATTGAAAAATGACTCAGTTAATAGGCTAATACCTTAACCATCACAGTAGAACAGTTGTATCTAGTATGATACACTATACATAGTATCAATTAGTGTGAATAATGAATAATATTTTATATTATTTTTCTTTCAAAATCAAACACCTTTACACGAACCGCCCATTAACCATATCAATTAACGACATAAAATAGAGTTAATGACTTTGACCCCTGAACAACTCGTATGTATGCTTTAATTTTCATACCATTATCAGAAAATAATGCTGTTTTATTTTCCAAATTTAACATGTAAAATTATAAAATTTATGATCACACCCTGTTACGTATTGATAAATCGAATGACACGTTTGCCAAAAACGGGATCGATAATTCACAATGTAAACAAAATGTTATGTATATCATTATTATCATCGTTATACAATAAAACAGTGGCCCGTACTACAATAGAGATATAAAACAAAGAACTTTGAATTTAATGAAGAGCTACAGCAACAACGGAACAGGAACATAAACGAATCACATTATGTTGCTTCATTATACGTCAGCAAGTAGAAGCAGGTACGTATGAACAAAGACAGCGTGTACAGAGGACAATTAAAGAGGGACGTGTGTGACAAAAATGATCGCCCAGACAATTCACAAAAAGCATCGATAATCGATGATCAAAAGCCTGAGATTTTTGTTTTCTTCCTTTTTTTGTTTTTTATCTCGCGAATCTTTCCAAGGTCGTCGATATGCTAATTTAATTATTATTATATAATGATCGCACGTTTCCAAATTAACGCTGAAGATTTGTGTTTCTGCATTAATTTATGCACGATTTTTGTATTTCAATTATACCAATTGGGTTTGAAAGAACGAATTTCTGTTCGCAATTTTCAGTGATTCGATGATTAAAAAGGTGATATGTTATTTTGTCTCTCTGAGTTTGATTAGGAACACGTGTTAATATTTGTACAGAACGTGGATCGATAAGACCGTTAAATTAAGTTGATAGTTCGATACTCGAAGAATAAGTTCACTCGCGATCAAATCAGATTTTCTCAGGAAAAAAATGGTGATACCCGGGTTCTTATCCTTCCTCAGAGGCATTCCCGGGGAGAATGACAATGTAAAAATTATAATTTTTTTTTCTAAATTACATTTAATATCGTCAAAATTAAGATTTTCAAAATTCCTACTTCCTCAATATCGACATTTTTTCTATAGAACCCGTGTTTGATTACGAATGTACCCAATCACATTTCTTACGACTTTTTACCAACTTGTATCAGATTTTGAAACAAACAAGTCCCTTCAAAATCACTTAAAAGGGCGGTCGACAGTGTAATAGGGAGTCATTTTAGTAATTGAGCTTTCAAAAAATGATTTTTAATTTCTTTCATCAATATAAATTTTAAAATATTCTAAATATCGCTGGTTGTAACAGATACGAAATTTATATTTTTATATTAAAAATTCCACACCCTTTTCCATCCTTTCTTCATCACAAAAATATTAAAAGAAATGGAAAATTTCTGTGTTCAATTTTGTTAAATTTTGATTCACATCATTAAGTCTAATATATGATAGTGGTGCTGGTACTGGTTAAGAATCTTTTTAAATATTTTGTTTTCTTTGACTGTGTGATCTGAAATCATTTCCGCCAACATGATAGCCGTTATCAAAAGTGTTATTTTTATCTGCAGATATAATATCAAAGAAACTATTTGAAAAACCGTTTTGTATATTTTACGAGTAGCTTAATATATGAAATAAGTGTAACATTATTCCGAAAGAAAAAAGACCTTGAATATTGCTGAATTTTTTAGCACAATTACAAGAATGACCCCTTCAGTAAAGAATCGTTTAATAGCTTTTAGAGTACTTAAATTGGGAAAAAAAATTATAGCTTTCTGTTGCGAAAAATATAAGCAAATCTCGAATATTTACCGAGCTTTTGTTACTAAAAACTTGAGTTAATAAACAAGAGTGGAGTCGCATTTCCTTCGACACTCTAAAATCTTGTAAATTGCTTCTCAAACACGTGTAAACATCTCCAATTCAAGGAAGTACGAATTGAAGAGCTGCATACACGAGTAACCTTCTAAACAAAGTTAACACCTGAAAAGTTCATAGAACTACATAACGGTAATTACATGATTCTTACACAATTTTGACACTGAATTAATATCTAAAATATTTCCACTGTTTTCGTAATCGAAATACTGAAAATTGCAAATGGAAATATACTCTTCTCTTGTAAATTTTATATTTTCTTTTGATTCAAACCGTGGGTGAAAACTGTTAAAAAACATCGACCTTGGAAGAAAAAGAGGTAATTATATAAAATAGGATCCACTTTACCAGTTTCAATGATCTTGATTATCACTCTGCCTTAATTTCAAAAATATAGACGAAAATATTCATAGAATTTTCTACAGGGCAAAGCAGCATAAAAAACTAATCGATTATTTTTAAGAATTCATGTAATTTATTCCAATTTGTGACTACTTTATCACGTGAAATCTTTTCTTAAAGTGGCCAGAGAGACACAAGTTAAATATTCAAAATATCTGCAGCTTTTTCATCTAAAATAAAAGTGTTATAAATACTTGATAAAGTCACATAATTTAACAATAACAATGTTATAATTGAAAAAGAGCTGTTTTAACAGCATAAATAATATTTTATTGGAGATGTGAAGTGTCTACATATAGTACCAAATGAATTCAGACAAACTGTTTCCCTAATTCCGTTTGCATAAAATTATCTAACTTGCTATAAAATGATGATCAAAATGTAAGCAATAAAAGAATTTCAAAATTTTGAACAATTGTTTCAAATATTTTCTAACAGTAACAAAATATTCCCCTTACACCAATTTTCTCCAAATGATATTCCACAAACTATTGATATTTCTAATTATTATCCAAATAACTTTGTCACATTAATAATTAAAACAATATTGCTTTTTCCCTTCCAGATTTTCTTTGGCTCAAAGTTATCAACTCTAGGCATGGCAAACGAAGTGTTAAACGACTATTAACCAAATTTCATAATAAAAAAATAAAAAATTACTTCGTCTGCTCGAATAGGTGCATGTGTAAGTACCTATGTCCTAAACTTTATATTAAGATCAATGAAATAAATAAAATGGACCTTATTCTCTACAATTACCGTTAAGAAAATACGCGGAGACCGTACCTCGTCCGAGGTAGTCGGTGATTCGAGAATATGGCCCACCTCTGAACTCGCGAGAGGGAAAAGAGGGCCTTAGGTCGCGATTGCAGAAGTCGGAGTGATCGCAACAGGCGACCACGTATTCCACGTCGCCTGGACCGCGTAGAGTACTATTCATGCTGCACCAGATCGAGTACTCGGGCGCCGGGAAGAAGTGCACCTTATCGTAACACCTGAGAACAATTTATATGACGAGTACTTCCGGGCTTTCACGAATACAGCGTACCGCGACCACTTCCGTTTCGCTTCGTTTCATATTGGGTCTGATGAAATATCTTCAATACTCTTAATGGTACCTTGTTCGTCCCTTTAATTTCTTTTTCCCCCATCAAATTAATTATATTTAAAAACAAAATCGATTAAATTTGCGATCCCAAAAAAATGAAAAGATTATTCGAAATTAAAATGGTTAATCGAAGGAACATCCTATTTTTTCCGATCCAGTATCGAAATGGTAACCGCGCATCTCTAGTTAATCGAGAAACGCGTCATCGTTCGTACGATGATTGTAAATAAATTACAAACACGTAGCTGGCGTTTTTACTTTGTTGGCCTCGCGTGATAAATTACTCTTATTACGAAGTTATAAATTCGTAAGGGCACGCCAGCGTCCAAATAACAGGCAGCTAAGATAAGTTCGAGAATTAATCATTAATAACTCGCGATCAGGCAATAATTCACGGTGCTTCTTTACTTTTTTTTTTCTGCGGGCAATTTCACCTTTAAGGGGCCGTATTATAACGTCGTTATCTTCTGCTCTTTAGGGGACGCGTTATTACGTCAAAGACGCCCTTTACTTTTCTTTTTACTTCGTGAATCCCTCGACGACTGTTGCCAGCGGATCTAATGGAATTACTTTATAACACTCTGATTTTCTTTTACTCAAAGTGCTTGTTTGAACATTTATAAATAAAACAAAGTCAAGAGCAGCTAACAGTGATTAATTACATCCTTCATTTTTAAGTTCACGATATTTCGCTTACTCGCTGATATAGAAATAAACACTGACACTTTAACGCTTTGAACTCGACATTTACGAGTTCATGGAAACGATGCGAATTCAACGAATCTGTCGAACGCAATTTTCTATTACCATGTTGCATATCTGATGAATTTCAAAACAGGAATTCTGACGCGATTCGATGACATAAAAGTATTACAAAATAGCACACATAATACAATATGGTTGCAATAAACAATAGAGCAGTGCTATAAGATGGTTTATTGCATGTTTGCAATAAATATGTATGTAGTAATTTTCTTCAAATTTTAAGCTTTAAATCGATGTATCATAAGTTACATTTTGAGATACTTTTATGTCATGAAATTTTATTGGACTTTTTGTATTTCGACATTCTCCCTTTGATAAGCAACGATCGTTTGCAACAAGGTACCATTAAGCGTAGAACATTTATATAATGTTTAAAAGTATTTGAAACGTTTGGAGATTGAATGTATCAGCTAGGGAGAATAAAGTTTGAAGGACCTGTGGAGAATTACACACAGTTACAATAAGTATATGTATACAGAGTTTTACAAGCTGCGAAGGACAGGTGGTTAAATTTTCCATAAAGTTAAGAACCGTTCGTTTGTAGACCAAAAGTTGATTGTTTTCCATTGATTTCTTCTGAAAAGAGAAAATTCACGACAACAAAGGGAACTGGGAAGAATCGAATGGAAAGGACGTGCAGATATGAGAATATGTACTGGCATAATCGAAATGTAAGTGTAAGATTTTTTTAAATTAATCTAACAAGCTAATTAAAATTTTTTAAAAATGTAAAAATAAATTTAAATTTGATTTTATTATTCGTGGAAACCGAGAAACTACATATTATACTTTAAAATTACATAAATTACAGAATATATTACAGCAATGTAGGTATCAAAAAATGAAAAACAAAATAAAATTTAATTCTATTTAAAACAATGTAAAAATAAAATAGATAATTTTTAAATTAAATACTAATGTCCTTTATCATTTTTTCTGCATCTTACACCAACCTTTCATGCGTTCGAAAGATACCAACGATTAAAGAGACAAGTTAACATGTATGATCTATCAGATTCGTGTGCAAAAGGACAAATATAAAGGAAGATTGACAGGCTAACGGAGCGTATCTGCGACACATCTTTGCTCTAAAAGAAATTGAAAGATAATATTTACAAAAGAAGTTCTTTTCTTAAAGATCTGTTTACCGGTGTCACTACTGCATGTCTACTTTCGCTAAAGAGTGCAGAGAGGAGAGATGGCAACATGCTACCGGTGCTTTCCAAGTTCACTCAGGAGAACTTCCGGTCTCCGAGTGCTTGTAAGCAAAAAGAAGAAAAATAAGAGTACAGGAGGCAAGTACCTCGAAGTAACTAGAACTTCTATAGGTGGCAAATATTTTCATACCGTTTTTCATCTTAAATCAACGATCTAATATCCAAGAGATTTTGTTTTATTTCGAACAGAAAACCACCGATAGTGCATCATATATTTTTCTCTAATACTTACTTAATCATCCGATATGTACAAAATAGAAATGATAGAACAAAGCTAACAATAAGCAAAAACAGATAAAAGACATATAATACAACCGGTTATGCTGCATATAAAAGAGAAAAAGCAAATTTAGGAAAAATAAGATGGAAAAAGTTAAAAGATCTTCGATATTTTACAAAATAACAGAACAGTCACAAATAAACGTGAACACTTTGTATCCATGTTCTGCTCTCAGAACAATGTACGCGAACATACATCCTAACCATCCCGTGAAACGTGTATGTATTTATTATTTATACTTGTATCTAGACACAGATAATAAAGTTAAACGCGACAGTGACAGAGAGAAAGAAGAAAAAGTGAGACAGCCAGAGCGTGTCAGCGAGTTGGCGAGACAATACGTGTATGCACGAGAGAGACACGTAGCTTATAATAACTAAAGGCTGTGATACAATGCACGATTCTGCACATAGAAAGATAAATTTCAAGAAAAAAAGAAGAGTCAGCGAGCATACTAACAGTAACAAATAAACATACAACACGTACGTTCTTGCTTTCGGGTACACATAATACTCACGGTATGGATAGAAAGAACAATTACCGAATAGCAAGAGTATTCTTATAAGGAGGAGTATAATTGAATCGGAAATGATAGAATAATTATATCGAAGAAAAGCATCGGTTGGAAAAACGCGGAAACTCAACAGCATGAAAATTTAATTAATACTTTAATTAACGAGATTCTCTTCGGGCAACGTGTGGTATATACAGTGTTGTTGATATTCTAATGGAAAATCAGAATGAGAGAGAAGATTTATAGTGATAGAGACAGAGGCAGAGGAGAAAATAAAGATAGATAGATAGATAGATAGATAGCTGCAGCAAAAGCCTGAGCCACCTGCAGAGTTTTCGCTACTTCCAGGTCGTTAAGACTATACCTTCTTTGCGGGGGTGCAGCGGAGGTTTCAGATCCCGATTGCAAAAATCCTCTTTGCAGCACTCGATGACAAAGGTCGTATTTCGCGAGTCGCTCGTCATGCAGAAGATGAGCGGCTCGGGCTGCGACGGCGACAGCTGTTTATTCACGCACCTTCAAGCCGAGTTTGCAACAGTTTCAGAAAAACAAAAGAGACAAACCAACGTGACGTCAGGGGGACGATCGTGCTTTGGATCGCGAATTTTATCGGAGCACTCTATTTCGGTTAACTCCAACAGAAATCTATCAATGTTAATGTACGTACAATCGTGTGCAACTTTTATTTATTGTTATTTAAGGAGACATGTAAAAGAAAGAATGTACTATCACTCGTCTTATTTATTTATATTCTTTGTATACAAGAATTTGAAATTCTAGATTAGGATCCTTACGCTTATCCTTCACCAAAGGAGGTCTATGTTGCACCTGAGTGCACGCTTCGAAATCTACGTTGCACCTGAATGTACAGCTCAGTGCAAAGTAGCTACCTTTAGCTAAGGGTAAAAATAGAAGGAAAAGTCAGTTATCATTTGCTTTGATTTGAGGAGAACCTACAAAAAACCTAACGTAGACCCCTATTCTAACATATAAAGAATAAACAAAAATTCGTAATTAAATTAAGTCCTTCCTTTATCATGTCCTTAATCAACATAAGCCTACGTTGCACGCGACTGTGTATTACTTTCAAAGGAACTTGCGGGTTCATTAAACATTTTTTTGTATTATCTTCAATGATATCTAAATACAGTATAAAAAGTTATTTAACTCTAAAACAATTAGTTTGTTTCAAATAAAATACTAAAATTAGCCTATTTTTGGAGAATATTTTGAAAACGTCGTGCAAATTTTATGATCATCTTCAGCTTTCTCAATTAAAAGGTAACTAATAAGAAACAAAGAACACTGACCTATGTTGCATAATACTGCACCATCAGACATTCGACGATGAAATCATTGTTCAAAAATATCCATCTGCTTTTGGAAACATAACAAACCAAGAAACTCCCGCTTGAAAAAAACAGAGACCATGAACTCTTAATTTTGAAGAAAAATTCAATTTCATTATGTTCCTTGTTTCCTCTTTACCTTTTGATCGTTACGCTTACAGCGAACCTGTCAAATGTCATGCATTGTTAAAAAAAAAATGAGATTTGTATCGAGGAAACGTTATAATGCGACCGAAATCGTGTCGTTTCCTTCGCTCGTTCCGTGGTAAAGTGGCTCTCGCAAGTTATTGTAAAATAAAACATCCTTGATTGTTAAATAACAAGTACCCATTTGGAGAGGTATTTGTTGGCCAACTATACCACGGAATCATTAACAGCACTGATTATTTCGCACCACAGTTAACACGCGAATGCTGAATGCTGGCTCGAATGGGTTTGCTAAACAAACTTCAACAAAACTGGAGGAAAAAAAAACCAAGAAACTCAACACGGAAAATAGAAAACACAGAAAGGGTAGAATTGTTAAAAAACCAAAAAGAAAAACATGGGTGGGAGTGGAAAAAAGAAATGTTCAACACCGTGCAACTCAACACTTGTTTGCGATACCTGACAGTGGGGGTAGCCAATGGTAGTAGATGGTCGTTCCTGAAATCCCGTTAATTCTCTCGAGACTTCATTGAAGCATAATAAAAACACAAAACAATATACGAATCTGACCGTTTCTTTTAATTTATTCGACTATTAATGGATCTTATAAAAAACAACTTGAACTCTTGTCCGTCAGTTTGAATGAAACTTCGTGGGTTTATAGCAGTCGTTAATGGCTCTATCAATTTAGTATGATGGAATACTATAGGAATGGAAGGTATGTATAAGTTGGAAAATGGACACGGTCCACTCATGGTCCGCTTCTAGTTCAATAAAATATGTTTTTATTTCTTTAAATTGCACTATGAATAACGCTCCACTTCGAGGCATACAATTTGAATAATTAAATAATATATTATGAAACCGAGAACACCTAGGAGTTTACGGTTTCCCCAAATACATAGTCGGGATACCCAAGTGTTCCTATGTCTCTGGTACCTGTCCAAGTCTGTTCGACTTTATCCGATCCGACTCGACTGCTCGGGTGCTCAACAAATAGGAATACCCGCACACCCTTAGAGTGAACCACGAGCGGATCGTGAGTTCAACCCACAAAGTTTGAACCAAATGGATGAATAAGATTTCTCACTGTTCCCTTATTAAAATGATGAAGAGATTTGGTCGAAAGATAGAAGAGTATCCAGTCGTCGAACGAAGCTAAAATCCGGCTAAATGAAAGCAGGCACAGTATAACAAATCGAACTCGACACACACAGAAACGGTTAAGAGTTCAAACGATCATCATCATCATCATCGCAGATGCAGTGAGATGTTGTTAGTCGAGGTGGTTCAAATCGAAATCGAAACGAAGTCACAATCTTCACAGAAAAAAAAGAGAGGGGAGAAAATATGGTAAAGGATGAAGAATATGAGATTGAAAAATTCCAGAGGAAATGTAAATGCGCAGGAATCGCGAACTCGTCGTGAGACAAGCGTCAAGGTGATCCACAACGAGCGGTAATTCGAACACGCTCGATCCCGATCACGTACATACACATGAAATATCGCGAGAGATTTCTGATGAATAATCTCCGGCTCGTTCTACGCTGCTTTATGTCCGGTTTAACTCATTAAAATCTGCTGAATGTGGTTTATTCTCTCTTTCATTCCCCGTTTAACACTCTACAATGTTTAACGCGTCATGATATTGTTTATTTTTTTAAATGCCATGTTATGTTGCAAAATATAAAATTTTTAGATAGAATCTCTCTATTATGAGATGTCTCTATTTAGATGTGCTTTGCACATGTTAGGTTGGGTTAGTTTTTCGACACCATTTTGATGCTAGTTTCCGCGGACCAATCAGATTATAGATAAGTCAAGATGGCATCCAACTAACCTCGAAAATGTTCGATTTTACATATGCATAACTTCTGAACAGATGGATTCCTAAAGTTGAAACTAGTACTTTTCCATTTTTCTCCTCGAATACTATGAAAATATATAGGAAAAGATCAATAATTTTCTGTATGTTAAAGTAATGTTCAATCCGAGTGACGGTATCAGATAGCTCTAAAAATGGCCTCGATTCGATGCGGTACAATTTCTGCCAATCTTCGAAACGGATGTATCCTTTTTTAAATGGAATACCAAGGGATTTGCGTCCGATCGATGATCGATAATAACACGTGAAACGTGTGTCTCAATGATGGCGCGTTGCCGCGTGAAAAATAGGCGGCAAACGAGATGAGAAATAGACGTACATAGAAGAGAAAGGAGAAATAACTTCCGATAATTAGTCTCGTTCTTTATAACCCAGAAAATTCAGATTGATCTCTGACTCGCGTGCATGAAACGCATTTATGTGTGTACGCACTACCAAGTGGATAATGATCCGGTGCAATCGCTTAACTGGCTTGCTGCAACAAAAGGAAACATTTTTCCTGTTCCTCTAATGAACGTGGATACTCGTGACGCTTATTACTTGTACGTATGTTATGAATGTGAGAATCACCTTCGCTTTGCTTTCCGACGAATTTAATCTTCACCGTGAATCTGAATGGAATTCTGTTAACATATCACATTACACGGGTACTTTAAAACAGATATTTATAATTTAATTAATATTGCTAATGATAATAATGTGATGTAAAAATCAATACGATACGATTGTGAAATTAACATGAAAATAGTAAGAAAGATGCAGCTCTGTTAGAAACGCAAAAATGCAACTGCACTTTCTTCTCATAGTAAGGTCATCATTAAGTAAGGAAAAAAATAAAAATTAAACTATTACTCCCTTTCATGTTATTATCGTAGGTACCTGGTACAAATATCTATTAATTTAATCATGTTTTGACAAGCTTTTAAAATCAGGTATCTCGTGTAATGTGCATTTGCTCTGGACTTTAGATTCAGTCTATTAAATTTAACGTCGATTTAAGAGGAAAGGAGAAAAACACATCCAGCGATACCAGCTAATGATGCAAATGGGTTAAAACGATACAAGAGGCCAGCTGCTGCATAAGGTTCGATTCGCGATAGAACGAACAAGCACTCGCTGAGCCGCGTATCGTGTAAGTACGTTTCACGTTATCTGAACGACGAGCGTTAACAAATGTAAAATATGAGGCACGAGAACCGCGAGAGGGGTTCAAGTGGACCCCGGAGAAAGGAAAGCTAACGCTGAACTATTTTTGCATCGTTCTGAAATTTTAATCGGACGCAGACCCCATGGGCTCGACTACTGACCGAATGGTTGCATAGTCAAAGAGAGCACTCGTGAAATCAGAAAAGGTGAATGTAAAACACTCTGAACGAAAGAGAATGATATCTCTGCATGATAAAATTTCAATTTCTTCACAAACACTGACACTTACGTTGCTTGTAATTTGTAATTATTATTAATAGAAACATATGTTGTTTTTAAATCTTTTCTAATTAAACTTTTTCTGATAATTAATTTACTAACTGTGAGTAGTACAATGAACGTTATGGTGAAAAATTAGTTAATCGGACGCAGACTCCGTAGCTCGACTGACCGAATAGTCGACCGACCAAAGAGAACACTCGTAAAATTCGAAAAGATGAATGTAAAACTGTAGAAGAGAGAATGAAAGAGAGAAAAATACGAGTACTCGACTACCGCAAGAAATGCAGTTAATGATCTCGTTAGGAAGTTCGTTATTACGCTTGTTTTCACGGTTAGTTATAAGAAGAACGATGTGTGCGAGGCTTTCGCTCGCGCGCGTTCCTCTACGATTTCGAGCGGGTGTGGGCGGTCGTGCATGCAGACGGTAGTCGACGAATGCAAAAATATTTCCGCGAAAACCACGATTGTACAAAAGAAATGAAAAAGAAATAAGAAAAGAACTAGGAATAGTCGCGCGCTTACTGTAAACCCTTTTGCTATAGCGTTCATTGTGTACAGTGTTCGTTAAAAAAATTAAAATATCTAACAAAGTATTGATTTTTTTTTAAATTGTACCCTAATACTTTCTTTTTTTTTTAAAGGTGCATATGCATTTTTCTCAAATCTCGTTTGTAAATTTTAAATATTTCATAAACTATTAATTTTTTTTTAATTATACTCAAATACCTTTTTACATAGAATATTTCAAAGGATAGATGCACTTAGAACAAGATATGTAGGTCGATTTGAAAAAATAATGCAACTGATGCATACAGATGCACTGTAGTACGACGTAGTACTACGAATGCAGTAGTTTTAACTATTCTTATTCTTTCTAATTGCATTGAGACTAGAGAAATTGTGTGGAGCATCCTGTAGAGAACTCTCATAGCAAAAGGGTTATCGAGAGGAATAAACACCCATTAAAGATGCAAATTACGATGAAAGTTATCAGCGAAATAATATAATCCGCCGATAAAATCGAACTATCGATCGGGAATAAGTTCCGCCCGTTTTTCTTCGCTTTCGAAATCTTTATTTTTAAAACATGAATTGAATAGTTTACGTTCACCTGCGGCAACATAGCTGACTGATCTTACGCTAATATTTGGACTTTTTTTTGGAATTGCGAAATGTACTCTTTGGTTTTAATTTAAAAGCAATTGATTTTGCTCCGATTACAAAACCTTTGAAACGAGACACTTTAGTTAATACTGCAAAAAGATATTAATGAAAGAGGAATTGAAATCCAAAGAATCAATTTAATAATATGCAGTTACAAATCAAATATCTGGTGCTACAAATATTATAGAAACAGAAAAAACCGAAAACAACTTTTCTATTGGACAAAGTTATAATAACAAATCACGGTTTAAGTGTTAACGTCCTGGCAAAGTGATTCCATAAATCCTACAAAAACGAACAACAAACGATCAACTTTCCAATATCCCATGTGTCGAATAAAAAACGAGCAGAACTTGTGGTCGAAAGCCAGCAAAACAATATTCCAAATAAAATGGACAACTTTCCCTCAAATAACCAGTGTATCAAAGCGCACATTTACCCCAGTGTTCAATTAACCCCTTGCACTATTTTGACGAGTCTGACTCGTGATGAAAATTTTAGGCCAAACTTGAATATCACGAGTCTGACTTGTGATCGAGATTTCGAACTAGTCTCTCTCGCACTCAGTCGCAAAATATCATGTTTCAAAGTTCCGACACTCTGTCTGCGCCACTCGGATGCCCCGTATTTGGCCTGGCTTTTTCCGAGTTTCCGCATAGTGCAAGGGGTTGAAACCATATTAAACAAAAAAAATTGTAATCATAATTAGTGAAAATACTTTCAATATCATTTTCGGAGGTAGCGAAAGGAAAATTTTTCTATGAAGAAGAAAAAGGATAAAGCAAGACCGGATTAAGATTTCTGGGGCTCGGAGTTATCGAACCTCTGGGGGCCCCTTGGTTGATAAACTTGGTTCAAAAATTTATTCCAAATAAAATTAAATAACGAAAAAAGGCAACAATAAAAATGAAAGGCTTGCACTGGAGTCCACCGGAAAGTGGGTTCCAGGGCTACAGCCCCCTTTAGACCTTCCCTTAATCCGGTGCTGGGATAAAGTATGACAGAAAGAAAACCAGAAAGTGAGTAAAAGAAAGTAGAAAAATTAGGAGCAAAAATAAAATACGTAGGTGGATGGTCTGTATCGAACCAGCGTGAGAATACCTGAGGATAAGTCAGGCGAATCGGAAGATAGTAAGACCGGATATAAATTCTGATTGCAGTAGTCTTTATTGCAGCACAAGCTGGACCAATAGATACCCGGCTTACTGTTGCAGATCAGCGGTTCTTCCGGTAGGAACCAACGTTTTCGGTCCAAGCACCTTTTACAACATCACAATACCACGTTTAGTTTCAATGATATGCACCTTCTTCTAAACGTCCACGCACTATTAGAACCATTAGAATGACCATTAGAACAACTATCTTTCAAAACGTTGGTAAATGATTAATGTTTGAAGCGATTAATGATTTGAAATTTCAGGAAAATTCTGAGATTTGAGTTACCGGTTGAAACGAGTATAACTGGAGCCATTGATATGATACATCATTACGAACTGAGCATCAGTAGATTACTCGTAATTGTATCGTCTTGAAATGATAATCTTTGAACTTGTCATAAAAAGCTAGTCTATATCCAAATAAGTAATATGAATTTTAATGGAGAGAAATTTTGCGAAAGATCACAGAACTATTAAATAGCAGTATGGTAAACTGCCGTATTAAATGGTAGATCCTCAAACGTAAAACGAGATAAAATGGCACTCATGGCATATCAATTTAAAGCTTAAGATTTCGTAAAAATCGGTACGTAAAGATTTTATCAACATTCTTGATATAAAATTACTGCTGGTATGTTAGAACAGATATCACATTTCCAATAATTAGCCAATATACAATTTCTAATCGATTATATCTCAAAATAATAATACTACTATCGAACTGATTACATAGCAATTTTCTTTATACCTTAAGCTTTAAATTGATATACCATAAATGTTATTTGATGATATTTTTGTCATCAAATAATGTCAGACTTAACTACGTTTCGAAATAAACCAAGACTAAAAATTTAATGAAACTGTCTCTTTCAGCCACTGAAATAATCTCAACGATGCTATTTTCGATGTTATCTCCGGTTGAATTATCCGTCTGGCACATTAAACATTTAGGCTTCGTCCATGCGTTTAAGAATTCAAACTGTCGCATGTCGTCTCGATCAATTTTATTTCATTTTAAAGTTACATATTTTATTTTATTTTATATTCGATATAACACGTTCATGATTACTCACGCATACGGTGCGACCTATAATGCAACTCAGGACGCACCTTAGGATGCAGAATATGCATCCTTTAAAAAAATCAGCGTCATCAATTGATATTGAAAATACCATCGATAAAATAAGATTGTATGATAGGAAAAACTGTGTGAAAATTGCAAAAATAAGAATAAAATTGATATTGTTTCGAAACGAAATTAATTCACACAATGTAATAAAATTAAAAAAAAAGAACCTTTATACAACTACCTCGAAGAAATTTCTGGCTCCCGAAGAACGTTTTATAAAAACATTCCTGTATCTTGAATCTGCTAAACAGCTGTACGAAGAATAATATATTCTAATTTGATGCAAATCTTGTTTCTTCGGTGCTACGAACCGAAACCCAACATTTTTCGAAGAATTTACGATCGATTATTTTAAGCAACTTTTTACTTGGAAACGATAACGTGCTTATCGTTTATATTAAAGATAACAAATGTTTGCTGAAGAAGTGCAACACGTTGCATCGTGATTGCAATCGTTCAGAGACAAAATATTACGTCGTTCTTGGCAACATTCTATGAAACAAATAATTTTTTTCACGATAATGAATAAAGTTTCGTGGTAGTCTGTTGATCGTTTACTTTAGCTTTCAACGTTCTAAGTTTATCCGGGACCTTTGTATTGACCGCAACGAAAACGGAATCAATTAACGATGTCTAGACGAGAGAGTACAATATCAAAGTCTCCCACAAGACAAACAAATAATTTTCCATTGAAATTAATCTTCAGGATCTGTGTAGAATAATATCTCTGGCTACCCCCACGCAAAATAAATTTTTAATCGAAAGTCAAAAGAGAGACTGAAAATCCGTTTAAATGGAATCTCGAGTTCGCATGAAACGTTTTGTTTAGAGGAAAGGAGAAATCTGAAAAGCACCTTGCGGAGCGTTACCAACGCGACCACCGTTCGACAACAATAATTCGTTTCCGTCGAAACTCCCGAAACAGGCGCTAATCATGGCTTGCAGGGCCAGCCGAAAAAAGCGACTAAACGTTCCTGGAAACTACAACGAGGGAATCGATCGCTAACAGAACGAGACTGTTGAACTTCCGTTCAGAATGCGATCGAAACAAGTGAGAATCAAAGCTGTCCGAATCCGCGAATCATTCGTGTATTCGAACCAAATTATATAGTGGCTGATCAAATTATGTATTTTAGATTTAAGTATTTTCCCGAGCTTCTTTGTATTTAAAAAGTGGCATGAGAACAAAATAACAATAATGATTAATTTAATAGTTGGAGTTACCACGAAGTTTGAAAAATAAATTTTCAATTAAAAAAAAGAGGATAGGTACAGAAAATAATTTGTACACCTTTGTAAAATTTAGAAAATGAAAATATGAAATGCAAAATTAAATTAAAATTGGAGCTCTCTCCATAGTCCGCTGTCTGAAGGTTAATTGATTATTATTTAATATACAAATGTAATAGCTAATTTGGAACAGTGGTAGTAATTAAAGAAAGTATCATTTTAAATGTATTTTTAATTCCATTTTGATTCAATCTTCAAGTAAGTATTAAATTCAAATTCATTGTAATAATCTGATCACTCACTATGAAACTAACTGCATCAATGCACTCCAATGCACTCCGATGCAACTGTTAACATTTTCAATTATTCGGCTAGCTTTGATTTCAAAATATTTCTTACAGAATCATTTATACATACGTGTCAACGAAACTCGCGCAATTATTTAATACGCCATTAAAATTATGTAAGAATGATAATTTTTATCTATCACAAATTTCATGTCTTTTATCGTTCCATTATAATTTAATTCGTTTTGTGAAGTAAAAGATAAACAAAAACGGTCGTTTCGTTGCTACATCATTAATCCCTCGATTTAATACCATACCAATAATTATCGATACCCGGTAACGAGCAATTAACGCTGAAATTAAATGAAAACATCATTTGAACCGGATACTCGAACCAGGGAAACACCGTTGTTTATCTTCTGGTGCAACAATCGTTGTTGCTTCTATTTCAGATAAATAACGTTAAATAAACGATGTTTTAGAGATGCGCACGGTTAAATCAATATTTAGTAACGTTCGATGAAGATCTATTCTATTTACCCTGTAATGCAGTTATTCGACGTTGCTACTATACAATATCAAACTAAACATTTTCGTGTTAATCAAAACAAATAAACGATATTTCCAATAATTCTGGTGTTGTTCTATGCATTTTTAATCAGTTGACGATCGCTGAAAATATTAATACTTTGACGACCACATATTTTATGTATTAAAAAAAGAGATTATTATTCGTGATTCTTTTATAAGTTAAGAAGCTTCACATATTTCAAGTTTTAAAAATTTAAGAATGGAAGATATTTGAAATATCTTACCTTATGGTACCTTAACGCAAAAAATATGTAGTTTCATTTAGAAAAACAAAATTTACCATTGAAATCCCTGATGTGGAAAATCACGAATAAGGCACTGATCATCAAAGTATTAATTGCACAAAGTTCTATTGTATCATTTATGAATACAGGAATAAAAAAGAAAATTTTTGATAAGTGCATTATTCTTAATAGCAAGCTACACATGCAAATACATTACCTCCGAGCATACATGGGAGTATCGTTCTCCAAGCTGGTGCTGGCGAAACAATAGCCATCGGTTTCGCACGTCTGATTGTTATCTTTGCAGATATCGCAAAAACACTTCAACAGCCCTGAAACAAAAAAATAAATAAATAAATTAGTGAAAATTGTTCAAGCATAAATAACAAACAAAAATAATTTCTACAATTTATTTTTATAACAGCAACGTTTGATCTTTTAAATTTGCAACATATATGTTCATAGATTAAATATTATTAATTTAATCATAAGCTTATCATAATTATCATCAATATGTAATCATGAACTAATCATAATCTTAAATATTATTAATCTAATCATAGATTTGCTATCATTAATATCACATGCAAATAATCTATTTGCACATGAATTACGCAAACGCAAAAATAGATACACATGATCTAACATTTTTTTATGATAAAAGGATCTTGTTACATTTCACGAGTATCCTTCAGAAAAAAAAACACTCGAGATCGAAATGTGTTTGCGCAATTATTAAAATGAACTGGGTTAATCGTGCCCAAGCTGTGAAGCAATCTTATTCTTAAGAAGCTGACACAGGTAAAAAAAAAAATACATCATTGCTCCGGGCAAGGAATACACCGTGATTTACTAAGAATAATGATGGCTACATTATTTTCTCAATAATTCATCACGCTCTTGATGACGCACGCCATTTGGATCTTACATACATGCCACGACTTTGCTTCATAGTTCAATTTCAAGATTCATTAATCTGGGTCGCATACGAGATTTAAACAAATTCAATGCAGATTTCCTTTGAAAAATTTGGGTGTATCACCGTACACGGTGTCATAATCGACCCTCTTATAGGGTTGTTAACAATGAAATTCTCGTTTTCTGCGCTGAAATCGTTGCGTTGAGAGAAATTAAAATAATAACTCGTAGGAAGATCTTCTTCGAAGAATTCCAAGCATAATATTTCTCTGGACCGTCGGCCACCAGGATACACGGTTTCGGGCGGTGGTACGACTTGACGAAACGAGTTTAATTCAAGTCATTACCGCACGCCCACATCGAAGTCGGTCTCGTGGACCAAGAAACGCCTCTTTCGTCGCGCGAACAGAGAGCAAAGGGCTTCGAAACCGAAGGAAATACCTGCGTATGGGATTCGCCGCATACCGAATCCCATGTACTGTGTTTTTGCTTGCTCCTCAGATCCGTTATGGTCTCTTCCTGTACACGGATTCGTAAGGAAACTGCAGGCATCAATTGTACCATCAGATTCGTTAAAACACTAGTGTTTCATCAGAAATTGCGTTTGCGTAATTCGCACGTCCTGTGTACAGAGTAAAATCACCCACCCATTAATGATTATCTATAAAATATTTAATAAAACAAATACTAAAATTCTAAGCTTCTCAGATACCAAGAATTCTAACATTTTAAAATTCTAATACTCTAATTTCTTAAAATTCTAAGAATCTAAAATTTGGAGATTGTGAAATTGCAAAATTCTCCCTTAAAATCATGCAAAATGCAAAATATTCAACACTCGACTATCAATCAAGTTAAGAGACCTTGGTCCAACCTCCCAAAAAATCCTAATCGCATCAATATTTCTCTGCAGCTAAATATGTATAATTTCATATCATCCTATTTTACCCTAACACATAAATATTCAAAAATTTCATTTAACGCCCATGATTAAATTATCCGATAAAATTTGAACGCTGTTAATGATCATCAGTGCCCCCGTATAATCGAGTGGCAGTCCCTAATGACCCTCGCAGTTATCAACGCGTTAGGATCGCGAAGCAGGCGTACCGATTCAGCAAAGATCGTCGATCCTTGCTGATATTCTCTATATCGATCACCTTCCGGAGATTATCTCTGTGCCGAGGAGAAATTGTCGAGCGAGCAATAATGCCGTAACGCGACTCGCTCGCCGTGTAATTTATTCGCTAGAGGAGATTCGTGATTGGCCGCGTAGCCATTGCGCGATTTCTGTTTAGACCTAATTTACGATTCAATAGTCAGCCAAGTAGAAGACTGAACTGATCTCGAATTTTGTATTCATGAACCGGATACATGCGTGAATATGTGTACCACGACCCGGTAGATCGGTATATGTAGTACACACCTTTAACACGTGTTATTGAAAATAGTGTCGAAAGAACGTCATTGCTACTCAATTTGTATACGACGCGACGTTCGTGTAAACGATTGGTATCGTTTTATTTTTTGCAATTTTTTTTCTTCATACATCGTGGTAATTAAAACATATCCAAGCTCGTTGAATATACAAAGGAGCGAGATAAATCAAGGTGTTTCGTATAAATTGATATCAACCTGAACGTAGTACTCTTATCGAGAAAATTTTTCGTTCAGTTCGATAGCGAAACTCTGGTTTCTTTCAGATTCTGCAAAATGGTATCTAGAGCAGCTAAGCAATGAATATTCAAATCGTTTACATTCTTAAGTTTATTTATTGCTAGGCAAATGATTTAATTAAGCTACTGCGAATTTCGGAACGGACAAGTTTTGATACGATTTCATGACATAAAAGTATCTCGAAATATCACTTATAATACATCAATTTGAGGCTTAACATCTGGAGAAAATTACTACGTACATGCACCTTTCATTAGTAATGTTGGTAGGAAATGGTTGAATATCAATTGCGGCAAACAATGGACATCGCAGAAAGATGTATAAACAGTCTCATACAATTTCATGACATAAAAGTATCATTAAATAGCACTTATGGCACATCAATTCAAAGCTTAAGATTTACTGAAAATAACTACATACACAAAAGGTTCATCAGTATTCTTAATTCAAAATAGTTTCTTCGTTGAAAAAGTCAATGAATCAACCAAGAGATACAATACTTTCTATTTCTTTTTTATTATTGGTCTAAAATCCTTAATGATAGGTGCATATTCGTAATAATTTTTATTAAACTTTAAGCTTTAAATTGATGTACCATAAGCATTATTTGAAGATACTTTTCTGTTATCAAATTTTTGTCAAATTTTCCATCTCTCAAAATCATCTAATTACACTTTTATTTTGTGTATGATCCCTATAAAATTTCTATTCTTGTCTTTCTAGCTAAATGCAAGGATCAAACATTCCGTAAAAGCAAATTTAGGAATACGAGAAAATTTATATGGACAATGTCTCTAAATTAAAAGTCATTGTTTACCGCATGACGCCTTCCACAAGAATAAACTGATAAGTTTTGTAAACGATACCTGATCATGAATGCGCAATACAGCGTCACACTAAAACTGCATAAATTAACTTTTTCATTGCTCTATTATCAAATATTATATATATATTTTTTTAAATCTAAGATATTCAAGCAACGTTGGGTAACTCTACTAGTATTTAAATAATATTGTTACATATATTTATTGTCCTATTGATACAAGTAATTAATGATTCATGAATAATAAATATAAACATACATTTAAATACTTCCAAGAAATATTCAACTGATTGAAATATCAGGGATAAAAGAATATTGTAATTCATTCCTTTATAATAATGTTACAATTTTTAATCACCGCTAATTATTCCGTTAATTTGCTTAGATTGCATTGGTTTCGCATCGTTCGCCAAAAAAAAAATGAAGAGTTGATAAGATTAGACTAATCTTGGAAAGCTGACGTTCACAGCAAATTGTTCTCCGCAAATTACACTTAATTGTATTACAAAACACTTGATCTTTACGTGTAATTGACGCTTAAGTGCTTTAGTATTAACCGTCTCGTCCAGTGATAGAGTCATTTAACTAATTGATATTCTAATCCTTTAAAATAGTACATTTAAGAAGAGCACGTTAATAAGGTTAATAAATATTGTATACCCTCATGTACGATGACTAATAAAGCCTATTACTCGTGAGTTATAATCAACCGGTCACGAGAGACCAATGGCAGTCCATTAATCCGTAACTGGTAAGGTGGGGTGTGTTAGACCCCAACGATCTTTATCTTTCTTTAAAATGTAATTTAATTATATTAAATTATCAGACTCAATATTCGAAGGTAAATAAAACTTAATTTTCAATATAAACAGTTTTTATTGGACGCCTATAGTCATCCCTAGCAACGAAAGGGTTAAATAAGACGTTCCAGCTGATTTGTCACAAAAGGGGAGATGGAGGGTGAAAAATAATATAAATTTTAAAAAAATGGAGAAAAAGAATTTGTTCGACATTAATAATTCAAAAGCGAGGAAGATGGTTTGAATACTTAAAAAATAATAATAAATATAATTAGTTGCAAATTGCACATTGAATCAATATCTCTATACCAAAGGGTAATTACTGACTGTAATTAAATAAATAAGTAAAGAAAGAAATGTAAATAAATAACACAAGTTTTGTTTAATTGTTACAAATGTGTAACACTTTAAATGGGACATCTGAAAAAAAGAGGCAAACAGATGGAGAAGGATATGTAATATAAGATATGCAGATGTAGATGGAAAAAAGAATCGTATCAATTGTCCAGTAAACGAAGTCTGTACAGTTTGTGCCGATTAAATGTACCCTTCCGCATACTTGACGAACCTCGTACAACAAGATTAATCGGCCCTTCTGTACGCAGTGCCGCGTTGCTTACGCAACGTTACGCGCCTCGGAAAGCGAAAGAAAGATGGAAAGAGCGGGAACAGCGGTCGAACAGAAGGCAGAACGAATGACAGATAGGTAGACGAAAGTACGAATGGAACGAGAAACATCAACGAGAGAAAAGGAGAGAGAAAGAATGAAAAAACAGGGATGATAGAGGGAGAGAGAAAAAGTCATTGGCAAGTAGAAACATTACATACCGTCCACAAGGCATGACGTGTGGAATAAACAGAGGAGCGCCAGAGCGAGAAAGCTCGCTATGCCGCCGTCGCACGCGCCTCTCATCTTCCCTCAGCTTGTCGTCGTCGTCGTCGTCGTTGTTGTTGTTGTTGTTGTTGTTGTTGTTGTTGTTGTTGTCGTCGTCGTCGTCGTCGTCGTCGTCGTACACGGCCTCTCTCTCCTCTCGCGAAAAAAATACTTTTCGCGAAAGCGGCCGTAGCTCAATGGCGACGACAGCAAACGGCGGCACGAGGATCCCGATCGACGTAGCCACGACGGTATCTCGAGGCCCGGAATATCATTTTCTTGTCGACGTGGGGTCTAAGACGAAGTTCCCCGTCGACGAAACACTTGTCACCGTTGATCGCTACTCGCTTTCATACGAGCACACACGCGTGTACGAACGGTACGCACAGTGGTTCTTCGTTACTCGATTCTTCTGTTGTTTTTCAGTCGCGCTACACGTCCCGCTCTCATCTCGTGATATTTGCACTAAACGAGGTATCTTTCTTTTTCTTTTGCTTCGCACCGTGCCAATGATCTCCGTTCGCACTGTATACACTCGGAATGAACGAATAGGAAAGGTTACTCTTTTTTCACGTTCGTACACGTTACGCGAAGAACACCGTTGCCCTTCGTTGTCTACGCCGCGCAAGGCAAGCCGCCATTTTCCTACTGTGCTGATAGGCCCGGCCTATTATCCCTGTTGGCCGACAGAAAGAGAAGTTTCGCGCAACAAGGAAAAAAATAACAGCCGACGAAACGATTCACTGACACTTCGATGAATGATTCAATCTCGAGCAAATCACGCGGTTCCAATTCTTCGGCATCGTTCGATCCTTTAACGTAACTCGCACACAGTACTGTCACGCGGAACACTTGCTAAATTTTCACGGCAAACGCGGAGCAACTCGCACTGCTGCTACTGCTGCCGCTACTGCCGTCACCGTCGCTGCTGCTGCCGCTGCATCTGCTTTTGGAGCCAGTAGTTCGTTCAGCGGCGCCATCGCTCTTCTGTGACAGGGCCGTACATGCACGCGCCAATACTATGAACTCGAATTAAACTTTTTATTAATTACTGTCACTCTCGGAACTGCCCCTCGCACCGAGGAGACGGAACGCTTGATTGTGGTCCCGCGCTTAGACAGCCGTATTTTTAAAAATGTTCAACTATCCGATTTTAAAATATATTTTTTTATGATTATATTGCTCTTTATGAGATGTTTATGATATATTTATATATATATGTACAGAAAATTTTGGTTGCTTTAAAGTCTAATTACAATAATTTTTATGATTGTCTAGGTTCTTTTATTAGACTTTTATCCTGGGCTCTGCAAAGTGCAGACAGCTCTTCTCATTCAACTGTACTATAAAATTTGAACATTTATTTCCTTCTTAATTTTTAACAAGTTATTAATTTGAAAAATAATTAAAACTCTTAATAAATGGCAAAATAAAATCAGTTTTACCGCGGTTGTAGTTTGAATCTCTTGATTTATGCAAAAATTAAAATAATAAAGAGGATAATAAACAGACTGGAAATACAATCGCATTTTTTAAAAAATTTTTTCAACGTTTATTTATAAATTTTTCTGTATATATAACCAGGAAAATAAGAGTATTGTTGCATAAAATGAATTGTATTAAATTATCATTGTAATTACATACAATGAAAATTACTTTATAGGTCATTATTATGAAAGATATAATCAGTAACCTTTAAGGATTGTTCTTATTAATTGGCATGTTCTGCATGACATATTCATACGATATACCAAATATAACATTAACATTATTGCTATACTTTCGTTCGTTCCTAATGTTACTACTGTAACAAATAAAAATATATTTTAGAAATTAAAATATTTTCTACTAGATCGTCCATTTTATAAAACTCTTTTTTACATTTTAACCGATAGTAGAAACATTTGGAACAAATCACTTAGACTTAATATTTATAGTTAAATCAGGAAACGATAAAAAATTTTGTCCAGAATGCAATAAAAATTAAATTATGATAATGAATCGCATAAGAATACTTATCAATTTCTTTAACAAATGCAAACAGCTATATGCAAGTACATTTTTTGCAGGAATGTACCGTATTAAAAATATTATACTCGTAAAATGTTTTGTGCATTAATGATATTGCACTTAAATGACAAAACATCTGATCTTCCGTTATGTATTTTTTTCTTTTGACGTCATCTCACGTAAATGCCCACAAAGAATAAATATACAATTTAAAAATTTATATCTAATGAAAACAAACTTGTAGAAATAATACTTGCGTTCGTTACATATCAAGTTATGTAAAAAAGTTATATAAACATTTGATACAACGTTATTCGTTATTGCAAAAATTGATGATAACTGACGTGTGTCACAGACATACAAAAGACATGTTCGTCTTCCAATATTTATACTTTGAGTTTCATCAAAAAATTTGTTCAAGTATTTTACTTCTAAAACCTTTTAAATCTATAATCTATGTTTCGAGGATATATTGTCGAGGATATTTAAAACGAAAATCTTGTTCGTTTGCTTCTCATACCAATTTAAGAGATAAAAAAATATACTGAAAGAAAAGAAAGATTTGAAAGTTTCTGACTTTTAAGATTTACGAAAAATACTTCTAGCGTTTAAGAACATTTAACAAATTAAATGATTCCAGTTTATCATGGTATCCCATACAATTTCATTTATATCTGAGTTTGGCTTCCCCATGCTCTGGAAAGTACGGTCCTTGTAATTCTTTTACCAATAGTTTGAACAATAAAACCAATCTTTTGTAAGCTATCGTGATCTAAGATTTTTCGTCCATCGAAAATATACGCTGGTTTCATCATACTAAGATAAATTTGTTCATAGTCCAACTCCTGAAAAAGAATTTAAAAAACCATTAATACAAAAATACTTTAAAATCATTTCTACCGTGATTATTACTCACGATAAATTCGTCCCATTCGGTACACACAACAATAGCATGCGTGCCTCTTGTAGCACTATAAGCGTCTTTATAAATACTGATCCTGTTTTTCACGTGTTGAGGATTGCTCGTTATACTCGGATGCATTAAATCCTCCATAATTTGCGTCTCTTCGACCTGTATAAAAAGAATTGTGAAAGCTTTGAACCACTACATACAAACCACTTGTCTCAGGGACAAGTCTGAATATATGTTTTATTAACACAACGCAGTGGTGGGAAGAAAGATCATAATACACACATGTATATTATCAAATACAATCGCTGTACATTATTTCTATTAAACGATGGTTTCATAGATAAAATTACCAATTAACCTGTGAGATTACATGTGTGCGATAACGACTTAAAAACAGATATAATTCAATTTTTATTAAAGGAAATCACCTTAGGATCGTATATATGAAGCATGGCACCCTCGTCCAGTAAGGTCTTAGCAACGTGAATGGCCGGTGACTCACGCGTGTCGCCGGTATTTTTCTTGAATGCAAAGCCCAGCATAGAAATCTTCTTGTCCGTAACGGTATTGAACAATGATTCTATTACTTTCGCGGAGAACCTTGATTTTTGGTATTCGTTCATGTCTATGACCTGTTGCCAGTAGGCGGCTACTTCAGGTAGATTTAGGCATTCGCAGATATACACTAAATTAAGAATGTCCTTTTGAAAGCAAGAACCGCCGAACCCGACCGACGCATGAAGGAACTTTGATCCTATTCGAGAGTCAAGGCCAACCGCTCGAGCTACCTCGGACACATCTGCACCGGTCGCTTCGCACACCGCTGACAGAGAATTTATGCTCGATATACGCTGTGCCAGAAAGGCATTGGCAGCCTAAAATCACAGTGAATTTCTGTAATATTACATAACAATTTCATTTGTTGCTTTAACCCTTTGAAGCGTGTCACAGGTAAAAACACTGTGCGTTCACCAATGTGTTTTAATCAATACCATTCATAGATTAATTAATCAATTATTAAATGTTTGTCAATTTTATGTAAGTTTATTTCTGTATTAATAAAAATAAACCTGATTTGTTAAATGTAATAAAAATAAAATTTCTGTGCAACACGAGTTGTTTTATTGTCTCAAATTCCGTGCCTCAAAGAGTTAACGATCAACAAACATTAATTGAAAAATACATTCTTTAATGTACATTATAAGTGCAATTGCGACACATACTTAAAATGTAAAACCTTAACGCTTAGCAAACACGAGTTTCGCAAACGTTTTCTTTTCTATAGCTTGTAGGTACATACTTGGTCGTATTCTTTCCAAATACAGACGCGACAAATAAAGGCTACGTACTCGATATTACATTAATTCTTTAACAAATACAGACATCGCTTTCGTAGATAACTTCTCACCAGCTTCGACAATTCGGAACTCCAAGTGTTCGTGGTTAAAATATTTTTCCTTGGGATCCAATGCTCGTAAACCTTGCTTAATTCCTCTATAGCCGCTTGTCCTTCGGGCGAGTCTTCGCCACCGATTAAAACGCGCTCCGCGTTCACTAAATCTTTGATAGCTGTTCCCTCGGCTAAGAATTCTGGATTAGAGAGAATCTGAAACGATCATGTTTTTCCTGTTACGTTCACGTAGATGATATCAAAGAACATACAATAAAAATAAGAAAAATAAATTGATTGATAGAGAAAGAAACAGGTCATGAACAATTCTAATCTATAAAACAATAGAACGTCTTGAGTATTAACTCCACAGGTAGTAAAAACAAGTAATTTTTAACTAGGATTTCATTCGCTGGTTAGCGATAAAACACTGAAAAAATTGTGTTCAAAATGTTGTTGAATAATTGTCTCAAATAGTAATTAGCATATTTACTCGTAATCAGATAATGATAGTGTTTGATTAAGTGTTCGTATTTTGATATTCTATCTAGAATCTGAAACTGTATGTATGATTAGAAGCAGATTTTCTGTGGAGTATTCCACATTGCCAATTTATAATTATATAGTATTGCAAAAAATATTCATTTGCCTTAACAGTGCTGGGTCCAAAAGGCTATCCTATTTAAAAATAATATATTTTCCACCTTTGGAAATAATTAATTTTTCATAAAACTTATTAGATAGCGTCGCTCATTATTTCTTTAAATTTTTCACAAGGTACATTAACATCATCTGGTTTTATATTTAATGGTTGACACGATAAATGAAGTTTCTTAGAATAATTTACAGTCGCATCATTTGCAAAGCTAACAAAGGACAACAGCTTTTTATCATATCGTCTTCAGATAATAAATTGTTTTTCAAATATACACGAAATGGAAACGACACAAATATTCGCATAATTATTCAGTTCAACGTTACCTGATACGATACGCCTGGCTTATGATTGGCACGTAAAATATTCATAATACTCTCGGCCGCTCTTACTGGTACCGTGCTCTTCTCCACAACGATTTTGTCCCCGGTTGCAATTTCCGCGATCATTCTGGCCGCACTCTCGACGTACTTCAAATCTGCCGCCCTTCCTTTACCGTTACCGAACGTTTTCGTTGGCGTGTTCACGGAGATAAATATCAGATCCGCTTCCTGAATCGCTGTCTCGATGTTCGTGGAGAAGTACAAATTTTTACCGCGACACTTTCGAACCACGTCATCCAAGCCGGGCTCGTAAATCGGTAACTTCTCCGAATTCCATTGGGCGATCCTCTCTTTACTTTTGTCCACTACGGTCACCTGAATCTCCGGACACTTTAGGGCAATCACGCTGCAAGTTGGACCGCCCACGTATCCGGCCCCGATACCGCAAATCTTCTTAATCGTCATTTCAACCGATTCAGATTGTACCTGAATAAACGATCGTGTTAGTTCTAATTAAATTGTTTTATAAACGTGGCCACGTCACGCGGGAAATTTCTACGAAATTATACAGCTTTAAACGTAACTTATAACGTGGGTGAAAAAGAAAATAAATAATCTTTACTTAGTAACGCGGAATCACAACTTCAATACAGATATTACGGTAACTAGCTGCCGGTGATTTTGTTCATTTTATATCTGACATGTTTCGAGGTTTTCTAAATTAAGAACTATATAGATATACAAGATAGCGTTAATTCATATACAAACATTTAAAATCACCGAAACTATGAATTTTGTGGCTGTTCTCTTTCAATTGTAAATTAGGATAGTAGTGGGAATTGTTGCGGCGGAGACCATGCGTTCCTATTGATATTTAAATTATATGTATTAGTGTTATGCAGTTAAGTGTTGTTTTATTTTCGTGTGAACGATAAAATTAATTTGCACATATCGTGTTTCGACAAATTAAATAACCTTGGATCTCCCAAACTTGATGTCGCCAAATGACTTTTTCAATAAAAAAGTTTATCATCATTTATGTTTCAATGTAAATTTAATTGATTGTACATCAAGGAAAAAGTTTTTATCAATTTTTTGTGAATAACCGTTAAATGAAATACTGTGTGACGGCTTTAACATAAGATCTGTGTAATGATCATTCTATCATTTATTGTTCTTATAAAAAAAAAATGAATAAATTTTATTAAATAATTATAACAAAGTCATCGGAAATGGTACATAATTTACCTGCAGCTACTGTTCCTAAAAGTACGCCCCTAATAGAAAATGTGAGGCTTCTGAAAATCGACGGAAGGACGGAAGGAAATGTCACGATAAGTCAGAGATCACTAACCACCCAAGTCGCGTACTGTCACGAGCGCACTAATAACCGAAAGTTTTTCGAATACCAGACATCACCGTTCATGACGGAAACGCAGACGGATCGTCGACACGTTACAAACACTGAGGCAGCTCACATGCTACGCGTCCCTCATCGGAAAATAGTCTAAACTGAAGCCGCCGTAGACGCGTAGATCGCACGCGCGGTTCTTGCCGTGACTGCTTCTCGTCACGTGTCATGCATGTATGCGCATGCACTCTGTAGAGAGTGCATTTTGGCGTATTTTCAAATTGACGAAATATTTATGAATCATATTTTCAGGAGTAACAAATAACCAATAAACTCAATCTATACTTGATGCCACGAGAGTCCATAACTGCGAAAAGACCAGTTTTTGTTCTTTTCTGCGCATTGTCGCTCTGATTGGCGATACTTCCAGCAGAAGTGGAAAGCGATTGGCGGATCGCTTTCTCCCACCATCGCTGCATTCCCCCACCATCTTCCAACCTGCGCGCTTAGTTATGGACTCTCGTAACATCAAGTATAGATCCTCTATTGCTTTTGAATTAAAATAGTGTATTACGATAATAAAATATGCTTACATTGTAATAAAAGTTGTAAAAAGATTGTAAGAAGATTATAAGAAGATTCTAAGACATTAGAATTTTGAATTAATTCAATTTATGTAATTATGTGATCCATAATATTTTCTACCAGATGACTCTAAATACCAGAAACAATCATTAGGTTTCTTATCTAGAATAAGTTATATCGAGGAATCATTTGTTAAGTGGCGCCACTGTCACTGATGGAGGCGCTAGTGCATGAATCTTTCTTTACGTTCGCGGCGCTCGTACTTCGCGTCTTGTTTAGCGAAGTACTGTTTTATATCCGTTGAGATATAAAGAATCCAGTAGATTTATTGATATAACAATGGTTCAGAAGAAGGTAAACTTACTATATTGTTGAATAAAAATAATATTTCATGTACTAGTAGCCTACTGCTGTAAATTATGGTGGTTAGAATTCGGCATGTTTTGAACGTGCTAGGACATTAATAAATATGGTTCATTTGTATATATTTAGCTATTATATTCAAACATGCGACATAGCATTTACTAAACATGCATTAATAAATGGTATTTCATAAAAATCTAGCCGAAGAAGAAGGTAGGGAAGAAGGTGGCAGCTGCGCCACTAGCAGTTAAGAAGGTTGAACCTAAAAAACAAACTAATCCTCTGTTTGAAAAACGCCCTCGTAATTTTGGTATTGGTGAGTAGAAAGAGTTCACGCATATGTAATGATATTTTGTGTAGGTACTTACATTATTAACATCAGAAAATCCTGATATTTAGGACAGGATATTCAACCTGCTCGCGATCTTAGTCGCTTTGTAAAATGGCCCAAATACATTCGCATTCAACGACAGAGAGCTGTGTTGCAAAAGAGACTGAAAGTACCACCACCAATTAATCAGTTTACACAAGCATTGGATAAACAAACAGGTAAGTTTATTTTTAATTGTATGAAATTGATTAAAGCACAAATTTAACAAGTTAATTAAAAAACTCGTTAACTTTTTATATTTTAGCAACACAATTATTCAAAATGTTGGAGAAATACAGACCTGAATCGACGATCCAAAAGAAAATGAGGTTGAAAGCCAAAGCTGAACAGAGGGTTGCAAAGAAAGAAGAAGCTCCACCAGCAAAAAAGCCTAACGTGTTGCGTAGTGGAACAAACACAGTAACTACACTTGTTGAACAGAGGAAGGCCCAACTTGTGGTGATTGCTCATGATGTTGACCCAATAGAAGTAAATATCTACTTTATTTTCTCAAGATGTTGTAACACTTAGTTCATTTATCACAATGATGATGTTTGAATTTCTTCACCTGATAAATATTAAGGGATGAAATATTTTAGACTGAGTGAAATGATTTAATAATCTAGGATAGTTATTTTTTAATTTCTATTACTACATTGTAATGCTATTTTGTTTTTATTATAGATTGTTCTTTTCCTACCGACACTCTGTCGTAAAATGGGTGTACCTTACTGCATTGTTAAGAGCAAAGCACGTTTAGGACGTCTTGTTAGGCGTAAAACTTGTACCGCGGTAGCTTTGACTCAGGTAAGAAAAATAATAACTTTACATTTTTATACAATATGGATCTTCGACATCGAGTTGGGCGGCAAAAAAAAAAGTATTAATATGATGAATTTAATAGAGCCAATCCAATGATAATATCTATGATATAATACAATAATCTTGTAACTGATATATTTTTTACCGGTACCATCATTATACCCGCTATGATTTAACAGTTGTCTATAAAATGTTTTTTTTTTCTTTTTTTAAGGTGGATTCTGGTGACAGAGCTAACTTCTCAAAACTTGTTGAAGCTATTAAGACCAATTTCAATGACAGATACGATGAAATTAGACGTCATTGGGGTGGTGGTCTCCTGGGTAGCAAATCTGCTGCCAGGATAGCTAAGTTAGAGAAAGCTAAAGCTAAGGAACTTGCACAAAAACAGGGTTAACATCATCCTGTTACTTCGGTATTGTTTACAATGTACAACAATAAAGTATAAAATTCAACATTTTAGTTGTTCATCACTTTATAGAAACTAGAAATCATTTTTTACCTTTTTATAATGAGGTAAAAGGATATATAATTTTAATTTAAAAAATTTATACAGATATAACTATTGTTTAATTTAAATATGTACATTATATTGTAATGATTTACTATGAAATATGTTTATATTCTTTTTTTTATCAGTTTTTCTAATCTTTTTATTCGTCCAGCTTCGTGTTCGGGAGTATCCTGAGTGATATGACTCCTATTATCGTGTGTAATATCAATATTTTCAGGTTGCTTGAACTGTTCTAATAATAGAACTTGTTCCGTTTTCTTTAAACCCTATAAATAATTACAAATTTAAATATAATATTGATAAAACAAAACTGAATCTTACCTTCATATCTAAAATTTTTTGAAATTCCGGTGCTTGTAAATCCGGTAAACGCATTCTACATTGTTTTACAAAATCTTTCGGAGATTCGATAGGCGACATTACGATTTTAAGAATCATTTCAGCAGTTGCCATTCCTTTTATCACTACCTGCTCATAATAAAAATACGTAGCTTTAAAGTAGAAACATAGATTCTCATATGACAATACGCAAATACCTTAGTATAAGTTGCAGGTGCTTTTCTCTGAATTTGATATCCTGTTGATGGAAGGTCTAACAGAGCAGTCTTTAACATGTGTACATCTAATAATAATTGTTCAGCACCCACGGTATTTAAGGGTTTGCATTTATATAATTGCTGTACTAATTTTACTATAAAAGAGCTACAAATAAATTTTTCATTAATTTCTTTAAATAAAATGAAATAAAAATCATATATTACCTTGCAAATTTTACACAGAGCTGAGTAAAATACTTTCTGCACGAAAATAATCTATCTCTGATGGTAGGTATTGTCTGTCGTAGGTGTGCCACAATAGTATTAACATAATTACTTTGATCACCGACAACTTCTATACTACTCCACTGAATCTACAATAACAATTTGTTCAACAGTAAAACTGGATACAATTATTTAACATGCTTATAAAGTTAAGACAAAAGATCAAATTGAATAAATATACTTTTGTCATTGCAGTTAATGCTGAATCACATGCTGACTCTAGATCTTGAACAAGCAATTGTATACAATTTGATATGACACTGAAAAAAGAATCCGATTAAATTAAATTATTGCATGTTTAATGAAAAGTATAAAGTACATACTTATGAAAAATATCTTGTTCCTGAGATAAATTAATTTTTTCGGCATAACATTTATCCGTTCTCTCTCGAAGTTTTTCTTCCAACTGTTGTGTAGTTTCTAAGCAATATTCAGCTGTTGTTAATACGCTGAAATATGTTTTTTACATAATTTATTTCTTTTTAGTTATTATACTAATGAAAAGACTTAATTAGCAAACCTTTACCAGCATATACGTGATTGTTCTTCTTTGCTAAATTTAGTATTTTCACCCTCTTTCAAAAAGCTTTGAAAATTTTGTATAAAACCGGATGTGGAGAGATCTCGGAAGTCCCGTGTTATGCTACTCATGCTTGTAGCAATTCCAGCACTACCTCCGATTCTGTCAATGTTAAAAATAAAAAAATATAACATGTGAATCATTTATACAAAAATAAGTGACGTTTTACTTACTTTGGTAAGTTATTTTGCAACACTTTAAGTGCATATTCTCGTAGGTATTTTTGAAATGTTTCAGCTAAATTCAACATAATTGAACCTGTGCTAAGTTGTGTACATTGTAACATACATTTTTTATAAAACACAAATAAATCTGCGCAAGATGATAAAACACTACTAGGACCCTCAATTCCATCAAAATCTTTAGCACCAGGTGGTTGTGTTTTAGAATCTGACACAAATTTATCCATTAGATCTGCTAAATTGCGATCTAAACTTTCTATATAAATACTTAAATATGGTTCAAAACATTTTCCTATGAGATTTGCAAATGGTGATGGTTTTGGTTTCTCGATTTGTGCCTGATATATAATATAAAGTTTTAACATATAATTTATATTTTTATATACGGTCTCGAAAAATATATTACCTCTTCATTTTCTTCAAACGGATTGCCTGGAACTTTGTTATCAATTGCGTTTATATTAGGAGTATTCTTTTTATTTACTGTTTCTACATTTTCCAATGTAACACCACTAAATCTTTTTGCTAACAATGATTCAAAATTACTAGTTCTTTGAATTGCATAAAGCAACAACTTTACGTCTATTTCTGAACGCCTTTTATGCATTAACTTCGTCAGATCTTCTCGTGTAACGTGACAAAATTGTACAGCAATTCGCTCCGATATTTCCCAATCCTGTGGAAAAATCGTCGCGAATTTTGATTCAAAATCAAGTAAATGCTTTTTTATCCATGCGTAGCGTCGATCTATTTTATCTAACCACGCAAAATCTTGATTCTCGTCAAATAAATGTGCGTATTCTTGTAATTGAATACCCACAAACCAAGTGAGCAGATCTTTCCTTGTAAAAAAAATTATTATGAAAATATTGGTATTATAGTGCTCAACATGCTCAAATTATAGTAAATACACTTACTTAACTTTGGGATCTAATACAGATAACACTAGACATCCTTCTGTAAGTTGACTAAAGTACTTTGGATTTTGACCAGAAAATGCTTGTTTAAAGTCAGCTGTTATTTGCTGAGCTAATTCAACGTGTATTTGATGCACCTTTAAACAAACATATTAGTATACCATTACAATAATACAATACAAATAATACAAAGTAAATATTACATACTTCATCAGACAATTGTTTTACTTGTGGTATATCCATGTAACTATTGAAATGTTGCATCACTTCCATCACTGCTTGTAATGGCAAAACAATTTCACCATACTGTTTCTTCTGAGTTAGTATTCTAAAGAAATATCAAAGTAATACTATATAAAATGTACATAACTTGTATCGAATTGTGTTTTTGATAATAGAAATCTAGATACATTACTTTAAAGTATCCACACCTTCCACAAGCATATGTAAATGATTTAAAGCTGTTATAGAAGCGGTAAGATTTCTCTTAGCAAAATCTAATTGCTTGATATCTCTTGTTATTTCTTTAACTACTTCTTCTGACTGTTCTGCTTTATCTTTGATGTCTTTAATATGGACAAACAACTGTTTTATTACTTTTTGTGCATCTTCCAATGCTGCTCTTCCATCTTGACCAACATTTGTCTGTCCACGTACCACTGAACGAATTTCTTTGTCTATGGTATGTATTTTTAATTCCATGTTATTTACTACATCATCTATGTTTGATAAGGACTGTTCCGTTGGGAACAATGAATTTATATAATCTACTACATTGAAGTTTGGTTGGTCCAGTGGGTCTGTACTTGGTAAGACCTAATGATTAAGAAAATTTATATGAATACCCTTGCCATTAAAAGATTGTCAAAAATAGTATAAATGTACTGTAATATTAAGGAAGATAGATCATTCATGATATACAGTGGTAATTCGGTATACGTCTGCTTTAGAATACATCGAAATCGGAATACGTCCTGTTTGAACGTGACAAATTTTTCTCGGTATACGACTTCTGTTCGGTATACGACATACATTTTTTGTATGAATTTTGCATTATTTTTAAATAATTATCTCAGAGGAAAAATTAAATTAATAATCAATTATATTCGGAGTTGATGTATTATTAACTGACTGATCATACAAGTAAGAATATCATATAACAAAATACATTTGGTGTACGTCCTATTCGGTATAAGTCCAAACATTAGGAACGGATTAAGGTCGTATATCGAGGTACTATTGTACCTTATAATTGGGATTCAAACTATACCAAAGTTAATAATGATTTGACTTTATCAATGAAACATGTACAAAAATCAAATACATGACAGTAAAATTAGTAAGACAATATAAACTACTTGTTACAATAAGTGACAGCTGTAAACAGTTTGACAGTTTCATTGTGAACTTAACCTGTTCAATAACATTCTGTACATTAGGCGGAAAAGTGTAAACGGTTGAATTTAAATCGTCTAAATCATCTTCTTCGTGCCCTTCCATTTTTGCTTTTACTTCAATTTCTTCGATCATACAATTCATGCGTATTTCATTCTACGTGCATTCGTGGAAGCATATGACAAGGCACGTAGAATGTTTACATCAGCCAACGACTACACAGTCACTTCAGATACAGGTAGACTGGATGACTGGACATGCCTTTGTCCTCGAGGGGTCCTGATTTTAATGGGTCCCAGAGACCCCCAAATGAAGGGCGAAGAGGAAGGTGTCTTCACCACTGGGTATGACAGTGGAGCCAACAGGCATTATACCTAATTTACAAGAAATACTTTTGTATTCGTGTTTCTCAAATAAAATTTTCTGAAATAAATAGTCGCTAAGCGAGTCGGTTCGTTAATTAACCAGTAAAATGAATAACGAGCTCGATTCGAAAGTCGGTTGTCAAAATAATTAATTATGCATAGTTGCTTATTGTTATATGATTATTATAGGGACTGTGGTCTCTGCATGCAGACCTAATCTCATCTGGAAGTGATCTCATCTCACTTCCTAAAATCCTGATCCTTCGAAAACAAAAACATGTTCAATCTTGTAACAAGTTACTATCACATTGCAACCATAGACTTGTAAATCTTTGTATACTTGATGTTACGAGAGCCCATAACTATGACGCGCAGGTTGGAAGATGGTGGGGGAACGCAGCGAGCTCTCCGCCAATCGCTTTCCACTTCGTCTGGAAGTATCGCCAATCAGAGCGACAATGCGCAGAAAAGAACGAAAACTGGTCTTTTCGCAGTTATGGACTCTCGTGACATCAAGTATAAGTCTATCTATGCTTGCGTACTCCGTGAAAATTGAAGATAACAAAAAATAAAGGACATAAAACATTAATAATAATCATATAAGGATGGTTAAAACATTTCAATGAATTTAGAATATTGAGCGTGAAGTAACTTCTTCTTCTTTTGTAGTATATGTAACATTTTGTTTCCAAAAACAGACCAGTCATATTAAAGATGATTTGGAAATACCACTTAATATTATCAATAATTTAAATATTAATTGTGAAAGGTCTATTTCTCAAAATTCATGGAACATATACTCAATAGACAACCGTATTAATGTTTTGTATAATGCAACAATGATGTTCACGGCAGAACTTCATAACTTGATGGAGATTATCCTTAAGTATTGTTGGTTCTCACTACTCAAAAATATGTATTTCATGCAATTCCTGAAAAGGTAAAATCATCGAACGTATCAAGAAGAAACGTAATATAATCGCTAGCGTGCAAAAAGAACAGATCATTGTTATTAACAGATTTGTGAAACCTGTAAGATTATATTAAAGTGTGCGGCACCGTGGCTTTAGAACTTCCGGCGGAACAACATTATCGCAGATGATCACGTGATCGAAGATCGACTTCTTCGTTTGTGGCCACGAGGTTTTGTGGTGAAAATTAAGTTTACTGGGTGGAAAAGGCTGTATATTTTTGTATTTATACAAAAATGCCCTCCAGCAATCCTTTGCCACCCAAAGAAAATGCCTTGTTTAAACGAATTCTGGTGAGTAACATGCAATCAAAATACTCTGTTTTGGACCCCACTCTCCGGCTATTAGGAGTATTCATCATGCTGTAATGATGGAGCATTCTTTGAAAAATTTTAAAAAATTCACTGGCAACCATAGATCAAATAAATTTTACAAACGTTATCAACTAACCCTCGATGTCTTATATGGTTTTTCTGATTATCCATAATGCTACCTTGTTCAAGTATTCTGAAACGTATTTATGTTTTTTTTACAGAGATGTTACGAACACAAACAATATAAAAATGGGATAAAATTTGCAAAGCAAATTTTATCAAACCCGAAATTTAGCGAACATGGCGAGACCTTGGCAATGAAAGGTCTGACTCTAAACTGCTTAGGTCGCAAGGAAGAAGCATATGATCATGTACGGCGTGGTCTCAGGAATGATTTGCAGTCTCATGTTTGTTGGCACGTTTATGGACTTTTACAACGCTCGGATAAGAAATATGATGAAGCTATCAAGTGTTATAGAAATGCCCTTAAATGGGACAAAGATAACATTCAAATTCTTAGGGACTTATCGTTGCTTCAAATACAAATGAGAGATCTGGATGGCTACAAAGTAAGTGATTAACATAAGCAATTCAATTTCTGTTTGTCTCCTTATACCATTCATAATAACATTTACATTGATATGTTACAAATTTATGTCAGTAACCTCATTTCTATCAAATAGTAATTGTGTAATTTGTTATTATGTATATATGTTGAAGTACATAAATAATATTGCATAATGTTACAAATACTGAGTAAATAGCTTCAAATTATATAATGTATAAACAAAAATTAATTAAAAATGGATCCATATTATGTTTCATAAATTGAATATTTCTGTTTATGTGTTACATGCCATTAGTTAAATATGATGTTACTAACAATATGTATATTTTTTGCAGGACACAAGATATCAGTTGTTTATGTTACGTCCTACACAACGTGCTTCATGGATTGGTTTTGCTATCTCATATCATTTATTAAAAGACTATGAAATGGCGCTTAAAATTTTAGATACATTTAGGAATTCTCCAATGGTATGCATTTTATTGTTAAATATGTATTCTTGTGTTGAAAAAATGTATACTAACATACTTATAAAATGTACAGATCTGTTATGATTATGAACACAGTGAATTGTTGTTGTATGAAAACATGGTTATCCAAGAATCAGGAGAATGTGAACAAGCATTGAAACATCTCGATAAATATAGTGATCAAATTTGTGATAAAGTTACTGTGAAAGAAACATATGGTGAGTTAATGGCTTTCTTCTTTATAAAATGTTAAATGCCTAATTTAATTCTTTCTAATTGTCTGTTTTATCAGGTAAATTAAGATTACAGTTAAAACAATATGCAGCAGCAGCACAAGTTTATAAGGAGCTTTTAAATATAAATCCTGAAAATACAACATACTATGCTAGGCTAGCAGAGGCTGAGAGACATACTAAACCCGATGAAACATTAGCTACGCTCCAAAGATACGAAGAACTGTTTCCTAGAGCGCTAGCGCCACGACGCTTACAACTAAATTATGCTGTAGGAGATGAATTTAAAGCATTAGTTGATCGGTACTTACGAAGAGGTACGATTCGCGATTCCATCGTGAATTTTTTTTTTAGCATTGCGCTGTATTATTCTATACATTTTTAACAGAATGTTAGCTGGTGAAGTAAAAATGTAAATAATTTTACTTGCGTCGCAGGTCTTCATAAAGGTGTACCACCTTTGTTTGTAAACCTTCGTTCCCTCTATAGCGATCAACAGAAAGTTGATATTATACAGTCTTTAGTTTTGGAATACAAGGAAGCGTTGAAGGTTCACGGACATTTTAGCGATCAAGAAAGAGATAATCCACGCGAGCCAGCTTCGGCATTATTGTGGACTTACTATTATTTAGCACAACATTACGATCATCTTGGACTTACAGAAAAAGCACTGAATGAAATCGATGCTGCCATAGAACATACTCCTACACTTATAGAACTTTTCGTTACCAAAGGACGCATTTATAAGGTTAGTTCTGTTTAAATATAAATTTTATTGTAAATTTCTCATTAAAATACTCTCAATAATACGTATACGTTTGACGATTGTTAGCATGCCGGCGATGTCCAAGAGGCTTATAAATGGTTGGACGAAGCACAAGGATTAGACACTGCAGATCGATATATTAATTCGAAATGTGCCAAGTACATGTTGCGCGCAAACCTTATTAAAGAAGCTGAAGAGACTTGTGGAAAGTTCACTAGAGAAGGAGTTTTAGCCATGGAAAACCTAAACGAAATGCAGTGTATGTGGATTCAGACAGAAGCAGCTAATGCTTATAAACGTCTTGGAAAATATGGGGAGGCATTGAAGAAGTGTCATGAAGTTGATAGGGTAATTATTCTATTCCGTATTTATAGTATCTGAAGATTTATAGCACCGTGCTAACAATCATATTTTATCGGTTACAGCACTTTTCCGAAATCATAGAAGATCAGTTCGACTTTCATACGTATTGTATGAGAAAGATGACCTTGCGATCTTACGTGGGTCTCTTAAGGTTAGAAGATGTGCTACGATCTCATCCGTTCTACTTTAAGGCAGCGCAATGTGCAATCGAAGTGTATTTACGGCTGTTCGACGATCCTCTACCCGATCCAACGCAATCCCAAGAAATCGACACTGGTAAGTCTGCATTTGTAACATATCCTATCCTTTATTTTTATCAAATGATTTTTAACTATCTTTCGAGTTATATTTAACGCATTTATACGCGGTATAACGTTAACCTTTTCGCTACGGCAGACTTGCTCGCGAATGCGCTGTGCCGGTACGGGGTAATCTTAACGCAGACGCGCTTAAAAAATAAAAATAACAAAATAATAATCTCGTAATATAAAATAGAATAGAAATTAAATACAAGAAATCGGCAACTATAGAAATAACAATGTAATAATATTCTGCTCTACCAAAGTTAAAAATGAATGCAAAATTCACCGTCAGTGCGCAGCGAGCGTCAGACGTTAGTAGCGAAAGGGTTAAATTAGCAACTGTTCGCTATACGTAGTTCCTACAAAAAGATTCACAAGACTTCTCGCCAAGTTTCTTTATTTTCAAAATATTTATTTTCAAACTTAAATAATCGCAAGTCATATATTTATTGAAAACATCTATCTTTTACATTCTAATTTTAACACTACGATAATAATACCATCAATTAAATAACGTTACATACAGTTACGTCATGTTACATATAAAATTGTTCGCACACGTATTTACAGTTTCTTGAATGATTTCGCAACGAACGTATAAAATATCATGCGGGAATGAACATAAAATACTTGAATAACGCTTTATGAAAGAAAGAAAGAAAGACGTATTTTGCGCTCTACGATTGATTTCTTAACGCAATAATCGCAAACTATATACACGGTACGTGTTTACTTCGTTCATTAATCACAGACAACGGGCGAGTACGCGACGATCGTTCGCTCGTTGAACAATCGCGTACCTTTGGTCGCACGCGAGCATCGTGTATCGCATCTGTATCAATCTATAACAAGCGGGAGAGTTAAGTCGCATAAATTAAGCATCCGATACAGTGAAATAAGGCGTCGATAGTCATCTACATTCTAAAGTCGTGGCGTATATTATTTACACGTAATTATTATAATAAATACATCCTATAAACGGTAGGTCGCGATTCGTGTGCTTGCGACACGAAATTTCGATCGTGCATTCCCCGACGATTTATTATTATGGCATCGCACCTAATCCAGCCAATGCTATCAGACATTGGCCGGCCACCGTCGACGTCTCAGCAGTCTCGTTCCCCTCGATTTCGAGTATAGGTGACTGCCGTTCTGTTCCGGCCTCTGCGTGATCGCCTGGGGCGTTAGGAAATAAAAGTGTCCACCATCGCCTGGCAATCTGTACGCGAAGTAGGCCTTTGCTTGCTTTTCCTCTTGGCTGTCCCGCACCGGTAGCGGATCGATGAATTCCGCGTCCGGATTGATAGTGGGTCGCGGATCGCGATAATTCACTTTGATGTCGTCCGCCAGGGATATCGGTAGCTGCGGATATCGCTCGTCGATCTCCTCTGGTGACTCCACGATAGGCACGTAATTCGTGGACGCATCGTTCCTGGTATTCACCAGTTGTTGAGAGGGATAGGCACGGATTGACGCGAAAGGTTGATCCTCTCTATCGGCCAGTCTGTAGTTCGGTGGTTGTTGACTGGGATCTATCACCGCGATGAATTCGCTGTCCGGTTCGATAGGGGGAAGGGGTTGCCTGTAATTGACGAGAATATCATCCTTGAGGGAATACGGTCTCTGCGATTGATCACCGTAGTGTACTTTCACGTTGGGTGTCTTATAGATCGGTGCTTCGGCAGTGTTGTAATTGTTCTCCACGTAAGTGTTCGTATTGTAATCCGGACGTTCCGTAACACTGTTCGATTTCGGGTATATGGGCGTGGTGCTCGGTAAGTTCTTATGGGCTATCTTCTTGCCGAACATCGTGAAGTATTCTTTCGTTACTTCGTCCAGGAACTTGTCGTCTTGTTGAGTATAATAAACGTGATGAGGATTCGGCGTAGTACTGATCAGCGAATGACTGGTCGGCGTGTATATCGGTTGTTGAGATTTGTACGGTACGCTTTCTGGTCTGACCCGTTTCTCGACCACCGATTCATCCTGTTGATAATCATTTCGATGATCGTCGTAGCCGATTTTGCTCACTTTAACGTTTGGATATCCTTCGTAGGTATTGGTTTGCTGGCGGTGCTGCTGGTACCTGCTTCTTTGATGATCGCCGCGCTTCGAGTAATCAGCTGCCTCGAAGCTGTACTGATAGATCGGCTTTGGTTTCGTCTCTTGCCTGTAATAGGTCTGCGGCGGCTTAGCAGTGGTGTAATAAGGTTGCACCGGCACGGCTGGACGAGCGGATATCGTCTGATAATAGAGAGGCGCGTGATCAGGTAACATACGTTGACCCTGAGTTCTGGCCGAGCCACTCGTTTCATAGTTGGACGATGTTCGCGTGACTGTCGAGTCGGTGTAGCGAACGGGACCAGAGTTTTTCACCAGCGAACCGATAAACTTAATACTATAGTCCTTCGAGGTTTCTTGCGACGGAATCGTCTCCACGCTATAGTATTGTTTCTTCTTGTCTTCCAAACGTGGCCTGGTTACCGTCTCGTAGAACGGCGATTCCGTTGTTGTTTTGTAATAGAACGAAGACGGATTGGCGGTGGTGCCGATCGGTTCGTCGTTCGATTCTTCGTAAAAGTAGTAGGATGCTTGGCTATTAGATCGTACCGGAGTGTCTGTAGTAACGATATTCTTTACCGTGGCTGGCGTAACCTCCACTGGTCTTTCCAAGGTGGATTGCGTCGTCGTGGCATAGTAAGCCACTATAGGATTTGTTTTACTCACCAATCCTGGCCATGCTTGTTTCTTTTCTTGAACGTTCTCTTGGTTGGTCACTTGATTCTCTATCACAGGACTGACGCTATAAAGCTCCGCGTTATCAAGGGTCGTAGGTTTATCCGACTTTGGTGTCGTCACCTCTATATAAAGCTTAGTTTTCATTCTGGGCGTAGAAGCGTCCGTTAAATTCTTATACGACGTCCTACCGTACCCTTTGGTATTGGTCGTCATCGACGATCTCGATTTAGTGGTTGGCACGGTGGTTGTACTCTTGAACTGCTTCGTGGTTAGTTTTCTGGGTGGCAAGTAAGTAGGCCTGGGTCTTGGGGAAGTTGTGGTTCCTGGACGCTTCGTGTACTTCTTCGTAGTAGGTTTCTTATCCTCGAGTGGGGAAAAGAAGTCAGGCGGAGGTGGGAGGATGATACCTGGGACCAGAGGACCAGGTGGCACCGCGGTGGTGTTGTCTTGTTGGTACTGAAAGCTGTACGGCGGTGGATAATAAATCGACTGATCCTCTTCGTCGTAATCCGACAGATTAACAGGCGGTGGTACAAACACCGCGCCTGGTGGTATCGCGTGATAGAACGGTGGAAAATTTCCTGGTGGCAGAGATTCTGGCTTTTCTTCGTTCGAAGTCGCGTTCTTCTGGTCGGACGTCAGGATCGTTCCGTTGGATATAACGGCGAAGAGCGGACCATCTTCTGGTAACAATCCTTTCGTAAGCAACGGGTCTTTCTTGTAGTCGACCGATCCGTTAACGATATCCTTGGTACCGTTCGTCCCGATGATCTGTACGGGACCACCCTCCGTGAGCTGTACCGGAAAGGGCGGCGGTATCTTCGGCCTCGATGGTATCTTGACCTGTCTTCTCGGAGCTTTGTAATTGTCGATCGGTGGCCAAGTCTGTCCGTCCTTTTGCGTGCTCTCGTGGCCGGGAAATTTCCCTCCTCTCAACACGAGCACGTGGTTCTCTGCCAACCAGATATCATCTTCGTCGAGACCACCAAGATTTTTAATCGTATCCTTTGGTACTTCTGGATTGCCCAGATAACTGATGATACCGGGTCGTTTCGGTTGCTTTTCATAAATTTCATCCTGTATCAAACCGTACTTCCCCTCTTTCACTTGCTGCGACAGCGTTTTTTTCTCGTCGTCATCGTCCTTTCGATTAGGCTTTCCCTCCTTGCCGTTTCCGGCCGACGACAGAAGAATTCCGTCGTCCCAGAACGTCTCATCATTCTCATGCTTCGCGTCCGCTCTCAGGTGTCCTCCGATCAGTCTGTGCGTCACTTTCCTTCCGGGTTCCGTAGTTATCTCGTTGTACCTGTTTGTCGACGATTTGAAACTCCGACCCGTCGGCGTATGATGCGTTTTGTTTGGCCGATGACTAGATTCCTCGACACCGACGTGCCTCCTTTCCCTGTTCGACGAGGGTGACGACGATGCGACGATTGACACGCATGTCGCTAACGCTGCTGCAATTAGCAGGAGATTCTGAACTCGAATTCTTTTCTGCATCGTCTGAAACAGAAATGAAAATTTTTCCTTACTTCTCCTTCTTTTACGTTACGATCATTTTCGATAATGTCGTTCGATTCAGTGTCATAATTCTTAAACGCGACCTTTTAAAACGAACCGACTTGTGCCGAGTACATAAGGAAAGTATAAGTTTATTTGTACGCTGCGGAGGTGTTTCCGTTCCACGGGAGTAACTTTGCTTTCCCCATTGAAACAACATTTTCTCAACTATTGCATTGAAATAGTAATTCTTATTCTTAAACAGACTTGTCTCAGGTCTGCGGCATTTCGTATCCTAATCACGTATGTCCGAATCATTTTTTTCATAATTTAAACGATAAAATCAGCTGAATGGTATCGAGGATTTGTCAAGGTTTTCGGGGACAGGCGAATTTCGGAAATTCGCCAATTCCATTGACGCGGATCGCAATAGTACGGGAATGCGGGAGCCGAAGGGGGCCACGCCTTTCCCTCGTGAACAGTCGGTGAACGGTCGACAAACGTTCACGGGTCACCGGAGTACCACAACTCGTAATGATTTGTTGTAACAAACCTAAGCTCACGTTTCTGCATTCTAATATCTCGTAGAAGCAACGCGAACTTCCAATAACCTGATACCCTGTTTCCGACAATAGTTCCAATTTATCGCTTCGCTGTTCCTGCTTTTAAGAAAATCGACGAATAAATCAAAGTTAACGCTTTGGACGTCGCTGTTAGCACGATATATCTACTTCCATCACTTGTAATTCTGCGAAAATTAATGAAAAATAGCCACTGGAAAGAATTTAATTACCAGACACATTAATCACACGGCGAGTCTATCAAAGAAGTACCTTTCTCCCTAGTTTCCGTGATGCTCGTGATTCTAAACGATAATCGTTCACCAGGCAGTTTTCCCGTTGGTCATTCAATTGCTATAATTGAACCGCAATAATATGCTCCTTCCGCGAATCGTCGAGCGTACAGCAAAAGAGTTTCAGCGCGAGTACTCGCGATTTCCTTGCACGAGTCGCTTTTCAATCACCGAAAGACTCGTTATCAAGATCAACAAATTCCGTTCCGTGGATATCGAGAGTATATTTCGCATCGTTTAACGGTTACCAGTTCGAACGATAGTTCCATCGAACGTCAACAACGCTGTCGATAACATTTAATCGAATCCAAAGTTCCAAGGATCGTTTAATCGAATCCGAGTTCCGTGGTTTCGAATTCCCTTATTATCGAGCAAATTTCCACGTGTTTTGCTTTCACCACGTCGGAAGAGATGACTTTGAACGTGTCCATCAGTTGGTAGCACGTTGCGAATTAAGCCGAGCCGATTTAAAACGCATCAGCTGTTCATCCTTCAAGCGTCAGCTGTTCGTCTTCCGCGAAACTCATTTCCGCTCGCGTAGAATGCATCTCGCGTCGACGCGTTTCACCCTCGAGGCACGATTGCACAGCTTTTTCCTCGAGATCACGCGTCGAACGGTTGTCCCAATTTAACAGACACTCGTAGATATTCATTAGAAAACCGGTTGATCGTGTCGCGACGGAGTTAAAATGGCGAGCACAGCCGTTCTTACCGGCATGGTACACGTGACTGGCCGGTTTTCATCACCTTTCTAGGTGCACCAGCTCCTTCAAGGACGTTTGTTCGGAAAGGTGGAGCCATTTCCCAAGCGGCAATGTCCAATTGAGAAAGGAGGAAGTGGTCGCTGACTAACGTTCGTGCCATTAACGCGATCGCGATTCTGTTTCGTTTTTCTCACCCACGCGTGGAGTTGGATGATTTGGAAAAAAGTGTGAATTAGAATTGGCGCGAAGACCGAACGAATTCGCACCCTTTTTTTCCGCGAACACTTGTTGCCACGGATCGTTCGCTTCCACGTTCGCCGATTGTTCGATACGATCGACTACTATCTCTTGTAACTTTGTCGAACGAAAAACGATTTCGACACTTGGGCTTTCACTTTCGTGCGCATTGTCCCTCGTACTTTTTACTGGATTAGGGATTTGAATAACAAAGTGCGGTCGAACCGGCTTGAACTTTCTTTCCTCCTACCTTTTTGATATTCTTTCCTTTGACACAGGTCTTTCGGACCTTTCCATTTCGAGAATGTAACACGATGGTCTTTTTCTTGTAAGTGGAAATTCACTTACAAGAAACTTGAATGTAATTCGCCACGTGGGTAAGCATAGCAATTGAATTCTTCCACGTGTTTTTTCAAATATTTGTCATAAATTCTGAATTTCTCGCGATACAAAACGTACTAAGATTGCGCTAATATCAACAATACGTGTCTTTTCAAACTTTCTTGTACACCATTTCGAATTTAGCAACGGTCTAAAAACAGAACGCCAATGAAAACGGTAAGAGTTTCGAAAGAATTATGATTGAACATTCAGATAAAACATGTTGAAAGAATGATCTGGTTTATTTCCATCTCGGTGTGGCCAGGGATTAAACGTCCTTCGCTCTATTTTTACGTTTGCAAAGGGCAGCCTCTGATTAGATCACGTGAATTCTTAGATCATTTTTTTTCGGGGTATCAAAAATGAAGAGCTTCTTCTATTTCAGCAGGGGTACATACTCTTGGAATACTTTCGGATACGTAACCACTTAACGATACCGAGATTTCATTTGCCACGCTCGAAACGCGATGAATGGTTCGGCGCACGCGACGTTTTTCAAATGTACACCATCACGCGGTGTCATTAAGAACGCGTTAAGAAGGCCATGAACCGTAAATTAACGGCAACGGTAATCAAACTCGCTAAACGGCAACTATGATCAATCAGTTCTTCAGTAGCATCGCCACGTGTGGCCTTGAATGCAGGACATCCTTCTCGTGTGCTAACAGAAAAAATATTGATCATATTAACCGAATATCGTTGATTTCATTAGCTCGATCGAATTAGGTTTCCAGTAATACACAAGAGTGTTTCACGCAAGACTCCGGCCGTTATCCAATTGAGTTTACGCTTTCAGCTACTTTCCTTTTTGTTTCGCGTTGTGCTCGGTGAACAGCATTAATTCCTTAACGCCGTGCTAATCCCTTCGAGCAACTTTCGGTGCGTCATTCTTTTACCTATGCTTCCTGTGTTATGACAGCGTCCGAGTTCTCTGTTGTCCAGTTTTGATTTGACGGAGTTAATCGAATCTCCGATGGCGGACCATGGAGAGAACCCCAATTTCTATTTCATTTGTATTTCATATTATTTCTATCTTCTATATTTTAAAAAATATAAATTAAAAATTTTAATTAATACAGTTAATACCTTCCTGTACGATTGGATCACGTTTAGTCTAGGTTCCGCTGTTAACCCTTTCAGTGCTATAGGCGCCTAGTAAATAATATCAGATGATGAACACGTGCAATTTTCAGCGTTGGAAGATGTAAAATAATAGAGTACTCCGTGTATAGATGAGCCACTCGTCGGAAGCATTTAGCACCGAAAGGGTTAACACCTCGCGTTCGACTGACGCACTTCGCGCGCCGAACTAGACCTGGTCATGCAAAATTTCAATAATTCTGAAATTTTAAATCTGTCGGGTAATTTGCAACCTCGCGTTTACGTAACAAACCGGTGAAAGCTGAAACCAGCACAGCGTTCTGCTTATCTTTGTCGCGACGTTTAAAAGTACACTCCAGGTTATCTGTTTCCCTCGTAGAGAAGTTCGAGCGTTTTACATAAGGAAAGTGTCATATTGAATTTCGGCGGATGTCTATATGTATATTTAAGAACGTTTATTCCTTTGATTTTAAAGAAGTTCTTTATATTGTCTTAACTCTTCGACTGCAGAAGATGTGTTTCTCGAAGGAGGTAGCCATTTATTTGCGAAAGGCGTATGTACGCTTATTAAGCCTGGTTAATTTGCCATAACAGGGTATTCATTTCTCTTCCGTTCACAATCTCTGTATAAATCTTTCGTTGTCGAATTCACTTCGTTTCATTGAATACCTACCCGATGTAACTACTTTCTTTCTGTATTTCTATTTTATTATCGTTATTATTCAATTTTATATAATCACTCTTTTAGTATCAGTTTCTATAAATATCTCATAATTTTGTTAATTTTATTCTAGTTCGGTTCTTTCTTGTTTGCTCTATTGATCTATTACCGAACATATTACGTATTACATAGCAGTAGATAGTTATGATTCTAATAACAGGTTATCGAACCGCAGAATATTTCATTTTGAATTCTTCACTTTTGAAGATATTATTCGTAAAACCGTAACTTCAGTGGTACGTCTCAATGACCAGCAAAGTGGATATCGTGGCATTTAGAGTAGGTTCACTTTTAATCAAGGTACTGCACATTTCATATTCGAAAACGTGAAGTAAAACTGTTCGACTTTCTAAAGTAAAAACTTAAATTCAAATCCAGTTTCCTAATTAACCCGTTACTCTTGAATCGATTAATAAATAGTACTGTATGTCAGTCATTTACTTTCGAATGATCGTTTCGTACTAAGAGATATTTATACAAAATTTCACCGATCATTTGCCGTATCGAATGAAATTGGAGATTTGCAAAATGAAGTCTACCGGACAACAGTTCACCGTGTCAAGGTGTCGTGCATTTTAACTGGACCACTCATCGTTGTCAAAATGATCGGTAATTCTGCGAAATATCGAGACGAAAGAGATTCGATTATCATCGATGAGGTTGCTCGGTGGAGACGAGTAATTGCGACCATAGTGGAACACCTTGGCATTGACCGGCTTGCTCTGCAAGGTAACTCGCTTGCATAATATGCTCGTCTCGTTCATCCCGACACTCTTGCTGGATTATTCTCCTTTTCTTAGCCGTGGCTCCTTTAACGGTAGTACACGACGCGGTTGTTGTTTGTTTCGACGTAATAGATGAAACTGGTGACTCATAATAATATTCAAATCTTCGCGATTCTCAGCGAGATATGCTCGAATTTTTATTGCAATTCTAACGAGGCGCAATAAAATTTTATACCTACGATTCGGTATAATCATATTTTGAAGCTTTTTTTTTCTATGTTATTTGCATATCCTGTTGCACGGGTGCTTTCGAATGTGCAGACTCATCGTGGGTCGCACACGTCATTAGAGAAAAATAACTCCTCGACAAGATCGGATTAAGATTTCTGGAGCCCGGAGCTATCAAACCTTCGACGGCTTTCTTAATTAATAAATTTTGAAATTTATACAAATTTAAAGAAAAGGGATAACAGTAATAAAAATTTCATTCAATATTTTTTTATATAATAAATGAAAGGCTTAAAAGAGGACCCTCTGGAAAGTTGGACCTGGGGCTATAGCCTCCCAAAGAACTGCCCTTGATTCGGCGCTGTTTCTCGATCGATCTTGCATGCATAATTGGGACAACAATGTTATTTTATTAAAAACATTCCGAGATTTATTATGCAGAAGCATCAAAACATATATGGCGGGTGTATGCGATCGAATACCGGTTTACATTTTTATCGCGACTTTAAAAGCAACACTGGTCAGACAAGGTTAACGGCCCAATTTTTTCATTGCACGAGCATCATCGTATTTTGTTCCCATTTTTCCTTATATTTATTGTTGCAAACAAATGAAGTTTTTTCACCGCGGCAAGGATATGCAGATTTCTTCTACCTTGAATCTCTTTTTTTTCTGAATTCTTACGATGATTCGCATCGATCAGGATCGAATCGAAGGAACTAATACAGTATGGACCATGACTGTTGATACAACCGGTTGCAACATCCATTTTGATCCACCTTGTATATCTGTACTCCAAAGTTCGCTGTTAATTACTGGTCACGCTTCTCTTAGACATTGAACTACTCGCTACGAAACTATGAATCTTTCAGGCATAATACAATAATTAGCACAATAAATACAGTCTTGCTAATTTCATCAGCGCGTTCACGGACGATATTTCCCTACCTGTTTGCTTATTCGTTCTCGTTCGTGGTAAAACGCTTAACAAAAGCGGTGTATTTAAGAAGAACGATGACTTTTCGTCATTTCTCGGCATCTGAAAGATGTTCGTTTTAGGTAAAAATCGATCCCAAGGACTCCAATTAACTGTTGTCTTCCAATTAGTCAGCGATCAGTGATTTTCAAACGTTTAATAAACCTCGATTCGATCAAGGTCTCTTTTTCTGCGATAGCTGCGCAATGGAAACTCGATTCATTATGGAATGTAGAACTGCGTTGGTGGTTTCGTATTAAGATCCTTTGTACCATCGATTTCTTTTTCAAAAAGACGAACCATCAATGTTTATATATATATACAGGGTGTTCGGTAACTGGTGGTACAAGCGAAAAGGGGGTGATTCTACATGAAAAAATAAGTCGAAAATATAGAATGAAAATTTTTCATGTGAGGCTTTGGTTTCGAGAAAATCGACTTTGAATTTTCGCCGGGTACGCGTGCACTTGATCATGTCTCATTATGTGGATCATTGTCTCGATGGATATTATCGCAGTTTAAGTTTGTTTTTATCGTAACGGAAAATTAGGAACACGTAATGAAATAGAATGTTGAAGTAATTATAAAGTATATTATTATAGAAATAGCTGAAAATGTTGCCCATTCTGCCGAATACATAATTCTGCTCTTCTAATTAAATTTCTATGAACGCTTTCGAACGTATTCTGTTGTTTTAATGTATGAAAGGCTACAATAAGCTTTTCTTTTAATTGCTCGCAATTTATGATTTCTTTAGAATACACAGTTAGTTTAATATGACTCCATAAATATAAGTCAAGCGGAGTTAAGTCCGGAGAGTGTGGCGGCCAAGCTACTATTCCAGCACGACCAATCCAACCTTGGTAATGTTGGTTAAAATTCAAAGTCGATTTTCTCGAAAACAAAGCTTCACATGACAAATTTTTATTGTATATTTTCGACTTATTTTTTCATGTAGAATCACCCCCTTTTCGCTTGTACTACCGAACACCTTGTATATTTCAAACAATTTTTTAAATACAAGGTACTTCGAGGGTTAATTTTAGTCCAAACACCGTGGGTGTACGTTTCGTGAAAGTTCTCCTATACGCGCTGATAACAGTGAAACACGATGAATCATAGCCAGCTGATGATAATTATGAACATACCGAACCACGTACATTCTTTTCCGTTCCGTTTCCGTTTCGTATACGTGCACATTCCCACGGTTTGCTCTCGACCCTGCCGAGATTGTTGCATATCGTCGCTGCTCGCGCTTTTGATAGACGCAATTAAGGACCGTCGCGGCTGGACGAGAGGGAAAGCTGAACGCGACGAAGGTTGTGCCAAGGTCCGTGCTTCGTATTTTTACTCGTCGTTCCTCTCTTCTCTTCCCTTGATCCCAGTTATCCCGGATCGCAATAAGAATTTATCGCGGACGCGATACTCCGCGGTCGTTAGTCGCTAATTTATTCACGGACCCATGTTTTATTTCGAGCGTTTCTTATCAGCTCGCGTCGATTAGCTACGCGCGTGGAATTTCTCTAAAACGGCAAAGTCTCCTAACAGTGGAGCCTGCTTCCCCTACGTCGCCCGTTTCTTCCAGGGAAGCCTACAAAGAGCAACATTTCAAATCGGGCCAGAATCTAGCCAGAAATTTTACGCGGTTGGGAAACTAGTTCGACCCTGTTCTCGATGATAAACCGTTTAAACCGCAAAACAGACACGGTTTAACGTCGGCCTGGACGTCGTGCCACTTTCTCTGCACTCGGTTATGACTTTTTTCGTCTGTCAACGGAAAGAGCGATATTGCGTAAGTTGATAAGTAGTTGCGGTTCCGGTGCTCCGATCAACTCGATCCTCTCTGTTCAAGATGTATAAGACGTTCTTGGAGAATTATCCGATTGCA